CCCACCTGTGCACTTCCCTGTTTAAATCCACTACCTCGAAACCCTTCTCTCGACTAATTCGCCATATCTCTTTGTTTGCGTCGACAACCGCTCTTTGCAGGTTGACGTTGCGTACTGGTACTTCCGGTACTGTGCATACTACAATTTGCACCTGGGGGGACACGGTGCGCATGTCATCCACCCCTTTCGCCAAGGTCGTCGCTAGTCCTGACGATTCTTTTTTCAGGACGTTATTTAACCCTCCCGCAATTACAACGAGGTTACGATTGTTAGCTTTAGCTGCGAGTTGTTCACCCGCTTGACTCATTACTGTCCCCAGCGTTTGTCCTGGGAACGTCCCTATCGCAACTCTCTTGTCGCCTTTCACCCTTTCTTTGATTGCCGCTGCGCATCGGACTAAATTTGAGTCACCGGCGATGATGACCTGTTCAGACATTCCTTCTGAAACCTGCACCTGGCTGCTGACTAGGTGACTAGCGTGAGTCACGGCTGCTGGTTTGCTCCCTCCCTCCCTCAAAACTACTTCCCGGTAGCTGGGCCCTGTGGCCAATGTATCTGCCTTTGTCATGCCTGTTTCCCTCATCTCTCCCGCACGGGGGGTCGTCGCCATAATGCTTCCGCCGTCACCTGCGTCTTCGTTCCCTTTCGCGACCTTCGATAGGCCCTTCTCGGCTGCCCGGAGCCTTTCCTCCATGGCTGACGTTTTCTCTCGCTCCTTCGCCAATGCATTCTCCAGCTCTGCGATTTTCTCCATGAGCCCACTCTGGACCGCCATCATATTTTTCATTTTCTCCTCGAACTCGCACTGTCTACACTTGGCGTCATCTTCTGCTTTCTCTTCCGCACTAATTTCCACCTTCCACCCTACCCCGCACTCCGAACACTTTACGGTCTTTTTGACCATGGCTAGCTCAGTTTACCGATGCCCACGTGTTAGAAAACTGTACTAAAATACACTGGTCTAAGCCAAAAAGAACCACAATAATAACTAAATACGCTACACTTCACAGCACCTGCGCATGCACGTGGTCGGTCTACGCGCAGGCCTCAGCCACGTGGTGGCTGGAGAAAAAAAGACACAGTACAAAATACTAAAAAAAAAACGTACACCGTACTAGACCTAATCAAGCTTTACGCTAGCGCCTTACGTTCTCATAACGCTAAATACAGAGGCAAGCTGGAAACATGCAAAAACACTTATCTGTAGCTGTCATTCCGGAGCTCTCCAAAAACACGTCCGACCTCTATATTCCGCATATTCCGCATATGCACCGCCATCCAGCGGACATTCCAAGGACTAAACGAGTGGCGGCACTCGCGCACTTTCTTACGGCCTGCGCTTCGTATCTACTTTCCAACTTTCACCACCTGTAGTTCAAGGCTATATACTACATGGCACTGCGGCCGAACCCTCGCTAAACCTTGCTAAAACCAAGGAGGTTATGCCCAGCGAGTTTAACCAAAGCCACCTGGGAAAAAGATTTTTTATGTGCCTTGGTTTAGCGAGGCGACTCTTTCTGCTCAGATACTGCTCAAAGCGCGTCCTTCTGATACTAGTTTTTTTTTTTTAGTACGCATCCCATTCAAGGCAAATTTTATTGGAGATTAAGTCACCGATACTCGTTTCCTAGGTTAGTTCATCAGAAACAACTATCTTTTTATTTATTATTAACATGCGCGGGTTTCCTCAATTGAAAAGGGTGCGCGCGTGCCGATGGTCAACGATTTTTAGAATTTCGTTCTTTTATATTGGAGTGCATGAAGTCATCCCGTGGGCCTCGCACTTGATGAGGCCCTGTTGACAAAAATTACGGCGTGAGCCAAGAGGACAACAACGTTAGGCTCACTCGCTGTATAATGCCTCCTATAAAAGACTATGCCTGCGATGCCCATCGCAAAAGCACTGCCCTACGCTTTCCGTTTTCCTTCTTCCCACCGAGTCGACTGGGGATTTAACCTGGTACAGTTGCTAGAGCCTCTCGCGGCGACTCCTTGCAACCAGAAGAGGCGCCGTTGGTAACTCGAGCCGACGAAGCGACGCGCGTCGGCGGGAAGAATGCCAGCGTTGTTAAAAGCAACGGAGGGGTTGATCAAATTAGAGCGCGCCGAAAGGCATCTCGAATGCTCTAGCAACGTGACGTCATTAACGAGTCAATGACGCTGCGTCAAAACAGACATTGAGAGAAATAAATGAATGGGCAAAACTTACATCGCCCGTTCTCGGCGAGCTTTTCTTGCCCTGATTTCAAGCTTTCAAAGAAAAAAAAAATGGCAGCATATCCATAGAGTGAATGATGGGGAGTGGGGCGAAGCATTCGTCCGTCCATTCGTTCTTGCTTCCGTCCGTTCCTGCGTACGTCTGTGTAACCGTCCATGCGTCCATCCACCCGTCCGTGCGTGCGTCCGTTCGTGCGTCCGTCCCTGCGTTCGTCCATGCATCCGCGCCTGCGCCCGTTCATGCGTCCATCCATGCATCTGTCTGTGTGTCCGTTCGTCCATCTATTCAGCACTCCAAGTACCACCATCTCGCATCTTTTCATCATATATTCTCCATATAGAAGCACCGCCATCCAGCGGACATTTCAAGGACTAAACGGGAGGTGGCACATGCACACTTTCTTACGGCTTGCGCTTCGGGTTTACTTCCCACCTTTAACCACCTCGAGTTCATGGTATATACTAGTTCACTGTATTCATGGCACTGCGGCCGAACGCTCGCTAAACCTTTCTAAAACCAAGGAGGTTACACCCAGCGAATATAACGTAGCAACCCTTTCTTGTCAAATAGTGCTCAATGTACATGCCAATGGCTGCTAATGGTGATCGCAGCGTGCGCGTTAACTAAAAGCCGAATGCTCCTGTCTCTCATTCCCTATTAGCAGCCATTGACATGTACATTGAGCACTATTTTTTATTGTTCAACAACGCACAGAAGAAGTCTCTCACCGGCACCACCTTGGAGGTCAAAATGTTATACTTGTTACATACTACGGGGGACGAACGGGTGCCGCTATAAGGAGCTTCGCCCCTAAAAGAAACCCAAGCAAATGCTAATCACTGATTGCTTTGAATTTTGATTGCGTTAATACAACCACGTAATCAAACGTGTTTTGGAGCATCAGTAGTGTCATATACTTCGACATAAAACAGAACCTTGAATATGCGCGTGTTATTTGGGATCCCTTTACTAAAAACGAGATTACCCGCCTCGATAATGTATAAGCAAAAGCTTCGAGGTTTATTCAATAATTTCTCCGTAAGGCTCACCCACTGAATTATCAGTAGTTCGACCAGCATTAGAATATTGCGTCGTTATCTGGGATCCATACACAAAGACAAACATCAGCAGGCTGGAAAACGTACAAAAGAAGGCTGCGCGCTACACGTTTAACAAATTTGGGCGCACTTCAGTTACCGAACTTCTACGACGAGCCGACGTACCTTCGTTAGCACACAGGAATCTTTTATCGCGACTGAAGTGTTTCTGTCAAATAATCAAGGGGCATTATAAAATAGATTTTTCAGATGCGATTTCATTTTCAGCTGGGTACGCGACCAGACAAAGACACCAACTAACAGTCATCCCCCATCGCACACGTACTAACTGTTATAAGTATTCCTTCTTTCCCAGAACTATTTCCGATTGGAATAAACTTCAGAATTCACAAGTTCTACAACCTTCTCTAAGTTTGTTTGAGTCCCACTTTAATTAGCATTGTATACCAATCCTCTGTTTTTGTAACAACTTTTTGTACCCGAGAAGAAGAGCCATTTCATCTGTGTTGAATTGTAGAGTTGTTGTAAACCATGTATCCTTTTTATGCACTGTAACCCATCTGCTAAAATCCCTATCAGGGATTGCAGTATTTACAAATAAATAAAATAAATAAAACAAATTTAGTCATAATTCTCTCTGCATGACTCAACCACTGAACTAACGCAGGCTAACAGAAGGAAAAACACACGTTTACAATTTTTTTTACCTTCTTTGGAATCGGAGAGTAGCAGTGTGGCAGCTTGGGCTAGTTGGTATGACATGACGATAGTTATAGCGCGAGAAAAAAACGACGACACAGAGACAACAAGGACACGAAAGACACGAGCGCTCTTGTCTTTCGTGTCCTTCTTGTCTCTGTGTCGTCGTTTTGTTCTCGCGCTATAACTATCGGAGACTAGCAATTAGTCCTTCACCTTATCTACCTTATCTTTCATATTTAACATCAAGACATACTCACCACAATCGTCCTAATTAGATAATACCATCTTTTACACGAACAGATTTATTCAAATTCTTTTTTTTTACTCACAGCGCTAACAGACCGTTTGTTGCCCTCAGACAAATTTTGATTTTTTCAAACTATATTAAATATGTTTACATTTGCTTTGTTTCTGTCCTGTTTTTGCCCTCTCACTGCTAGGTCCTGTATAAGGTCCGCAGCACTGAATAAAGAAACGCATTAAGGCTCACTGCTCCACCGAGTGCACGTCGGTGCTTGTTTCTGGCGTATAACTAACTGATCAATTAATTTTGTTCGTTGTTAGAGCTCCACAAACCTTATTTACGGGATCACCAATCACAAACGTGTGGTAGCACCTAGATTGCAATGCTGAGTCCAGAGGTGGCTTCTTTGCGTTCTGCACGCGCACTGCGGCGCGGTGTCCGTTTGGCAGCGCCCGCCTGCTAATGCGAACTCCGCTCAACTGAGACAATCTTTTAGCCCACTTCGATTTCGAATTAACGAACTATTGCCGTACCAGTTATGCATGCACTGACAGAAAGAGGCCATTTTTTCACAATTTATGCTGTAACTGTTGTTGGGGTGAGTTACTCTTGCCATTGCGATATACGTAGTTAACCATTAATAATAATAACGATACAAGAAGTGATGCGGAGGCATCTCAGTCTTCTTTTTTGCGCCGTCGCGCTAATTTTTCACGCTAATTGAGCTGCACCGTATTGTTAGAATTTTTCCAATGAAGCTGACTGAAGAAATACTTACGAGAAGGAACTGTTCGGTACGGCGCCATACTGGTAGTTGTGGCGTCTCGTCACAACACGTTTCTGAAAATAAGAAAAATAAAATAAAAAATGAGGTGATTGAAAAAACAAAGTTCAGCTAGCTTCGCTTGGCAGAGAGTAATGAAAGAGCGACAGTGGTGTCGTGCAGTGAAATTGAGTGAAGTGGAATGAAGTTAACTGAATGAAGCCGAGATGAAGTGGTAGTGAAGCGTGAATGAAGTGAGTGACTGAAGTGGGAGGAGTAGCGGGCGTAGCGGTGAGTTGCGGAGGTAATGAACGGTGGGCGTGGCGGTATAGGAGGGACACGTATACCTGTAGTGGGATTTACCCCAATTTGTGCGGGTAAATTCCACTCGGATCTACGACGGTCACCGGTTATGAAAGCCTCGACACAGAAAAGGCTCCGCTGTTAAACAAAAAAAAAAAAAAGCGTAACACTTGAATGCGAGCACCTGCGTGCTCACTTCGTAACGTATTACATTAATCGGTCAGGTAGCCGAATTCTTGGAAGACAAAACGGGCTACAACGCGAGAGACGTGCAATAGGATACATCGACGCTCACGGACCGATGCATTGCTCTCCCTCCCTTTCATGGTGGTTCTTTTACAATTTCTATTGATTTCGATCTGGTTCGTTACGAATTCACAGAATGCAGCACTCCTGTTAAAAGATGCTGTCCTTTTAAGTTCACGCATATGTAAAAAAAGAAAATAGAAACAACAACGTTATATGGTTGTCCTGATCGTTCATTGACTCTACGCTGACTATATACCTTTATGCTAAAGCCTGCTGTGTCACAGTGTATACTAGACTTTATGATAAAGCCTGCTGTGTCACAGTGTATATACTATAGACATACTCGATGGCTATTTCCTCGAGTCGCCGATAGGTGCCGCGCCTTACCATGTCGTCGAGGTGCACTCGCATGGGCAGAAACTCCATCCACCCTCGTCTGCCGTCGATCATGTTCTTACGGATCTGCGAAATGGAAGCAGCGCCAACCATTTGCGTGAACGCAATAGGAAACACACACACAAAAAAACACGCGTATCACCTTTATTTTTTTTTTCTGTTTAGTAGATACGTCAACACACCCGTTCCCGCGCGTTGCCCTGTTGGAAATACCAAATGTTCAACAGCCAGTCGAGCAGTAAGCTATCTGCAGTTTAATGAACCGATTCATGAATATTGCATGCGTTGATATCATGGGTGCCGTCTAATTTCTGTGCCACGTCATGATCATTTCGATGAGGCAAAACATAAAAAAATTAAAGCTAAACCAAATGATACGGACATGCATTTAGATTTTAGAATAATTTGAAGACACTCAGGTGGTGCAAATCAATTATATACGGCATATCGCTTATTATATCGTATAGTCATGGCATACGACGCTCCAAAACTGAGTATATTATTTAGATACCACGTTTTAATACGCCCACAATGTTGATTGATAAATATGTGGGGTTTAACGTCCCAAAACCACCGTATGATTATGAGAGACGCCGTAGTGGAGGGCTCCGGAAATTTCGACCACCTGGGGTTCTTTAATGTGCACCCAAATCTGAGCACACGGGCCTACAACACTTCCGCCTCCATCTGGCTTTCGGCTTTTAGAGTTTCCTAAATATACACTAGAGGAAAAATCTGGCGCCAGTGTTTACGGGAGCTGCAACGCACGGCGCTTCAGCGATCATGGGAATGATAAGTCGTACACGAATTTGTCTAATATTCGTACTTCTGGCTCCATTTGCGTTCACGTGGCAGTTTCGCTTCACCACCTCAATCTTTTGGGCTTACCATTTCAAATAGGGTCACGAAGTTAAATGATTCGTTCATTACTTCAAAAAAAAAAAAAACGAATGATAGCAGCAAACAAAGCCACAACCGCGATCCAAGGCCCGCAGGTACGAGGACTAGGCAAATCTGTGTACTACCCATCATTCTCATGATTGTTGAACGATCGCTGTGCCAGAGTCCCCTCTAGTTAATGTAAGGAAGCTCCATTACTTTCACTATTGTTCTCCGACGGCAGTGATGCCAACCCAAGGCAAAGTTTTATCCCTATATTGACCCTCGAAAATTCCCTAGATTAGAACGAAAATCTTTAGATGTGTTTAATGCCATTATTCAGGGAAATTGAGCCCGAAGAAAGTAGAAGGATAGTGCGCTCTGTAGCTGAGTTCTTCTGAATCTTGTTAAAAGTAAAAATTCCCATTAACAATCTTGTAAGGCCTTTTGTACACGCTCTGTGGAGTTGCATATAAATTGCTTGAAAACGGCACCTGTTGCCACCAAGACGAGTTTGCATGTCAAATTCGCTTTCCACATGCATTGAAAGCACAGATGTGATCATTTGATTGATTGATTGATATGTGAGGTTTAACGTACTCAAAGCCACCATGTGATTATGAGAGACGCCGTAGTGGAGGGCTCCGGAAATTTCGACCACCTGGGGTTCTTTGGTGTATTCAGACGACGGACCGAATCCGGATGTGGCGGGACGGACGGCGCGTCACGTGACCTCACATCAGCGATTCCCTTCGTCCGCGACTCGTCCGCGCGGCTCACGGACGGTTAACCCTACCTGTTTCTCATATCGGGATTCTGACGGGAAAAAGCCGACACTTCAGCGGATTAGCTCGGGGTTTCTGGCAACCAGTACACTTTTCGTCTACACTCTTAGAAAAAAGGTAGTAGTACTTGCTAACTTTGGGGTAGTAACGGTTTGTCACATATGTTAACCTCCCTGGTAGTAAGCGCAGTTAGTAACAGTGAGGGTGGTAACAGTTACCACCTTTGCTGTTACTACCAGCATTTAGTAACTGTTACTACCCTCACCATTACTACCCATCGGTAGTAACTTTTAAATGTTTCTAAAAACGTAGCAACCGATGCTACCTTATTTATTTATTTTGGCATAGTTTTTCTTCACTGCTAATGTTGGTCAATCAATGCCTCACTACTACACAACTTCAGGTAATCTTGCGTAGTGTGCAATGAGTGCGATGAATACATAGACCTAAGAAGTTTGCTATCTTTTTACGCTACAGTATGAAGTACACGTGGGGTATATATCACTTCATTACTGGCTGATGGATACGCTTTTCCTCTGCACTTTCGCTGAGCTCCCCGTTTGGCCAAATCGCTACGTAACTTTTTCGCTCTCATGTAAGGGGCATGACGGAAAGACTGAAACAATCGAACAGTCTTCTTGTCTCTTTTTATCGTATAGCGTTTCCGCAATATTCAACCCGTACCACCTTGCCGAGTCTTCAGTCCTTCTGTCGCTGTGTTCTTCCGTAATATTCCTGTTTATTAACACATTAGCGCATTGACACATTAGCTTGTTTATTAACACATTAGCGCACATTAACATTAGCGCACGCAGTGAGCGTAACCTTGACATGTGTTTGTGTGTACTACAAGGCAAAACTAATCGTTGTTTCACGGTGCAGCAATCACTCAGGGAGCTCATATATGCGCGTTCATAACTATCACAACTACAAAGTTTTGTTTTCCCAAGTATTCAAACTATACTAATGTCGCGTTACAAAACTGCTATCCCCTTCACACGGTCCATCAAAGCACCGAGACTCTCCTAAATAGCACAAAAAGAAACACGAAACAGCCTAAATTATCATTTTAAGCCTCTCTAGTTGAAAGAGCGGGATCACGAAGTAATGCCATTAATCAGGCAGCATAATGTCTCATTTTCAGAGCCTTACAAACATATCCAGATTGAATTAAAAGATGCCAAATCTTGAAACAGGTTAAAATCTCTAGATTTAGGGATAAATCTCTAGGGTTGGCATTCCTGTCCGACGAACGTTTAGAAAAAGTGGTGGACGATTCTGAGTACTTGGTACTCAACTATGGAAGAGCATAAAGCAGTCCCGTGGGCCTCACTTTTGATGAGGCCCTGTAGACAAAAATTAAGATGTGAGCCAAGAGTACAACAGCGTTCGGCTATAAGAACATGTGTTCAGAAAAAAATAGTTTGCGGTTTAGAGTACTTTCTGCTCTAGTATTGGAGGGTATAAAGCGGTCCTGTGGACATGGACCATTGACGAGAATGTGCTTAGAACAAATGTTTGACGACTAAGAATACGAGGTACTCCACCATGTCAGAGCAATCCGCTGTCCCAGTTTCAAAACGAAATAGATTTAGGAAGAGTGGGCAACGATTCAGAGAACTATAGTTACTCTACTATGGGAGAGCATGGAGCCGTCGTGTGGGTCTCACACCTAATGAGGCCCAGTGGGAGAGCAGAAACCATCCCGTGGACATCCCACTTCCAGTTTTCGTGAAAGATTCCACGTCCCGAATAGAGAGAGGAGTATTCCTACTACCATTTGGTCACGTCCTTGTGTGTTCAGAAAAATGGTTAACGATTCAGAGTACTTGGTACTCTACAATGGGAGAGCATAAAGCCGTGCCGGGGGCCTAAGCTTTCCAGAAAAGATGAACATACCACGTCAAGAAAAATTACAGACTTGTCTACAAATTCAATGCAGATTAGAGGCGAAACAGTGGGCGATTGATTATGAAGAGTGGCCTTCTATATTGTTCCGGTTAACAGCATTTTATTTTGTTCTTGTTACCGACTTATTTGTCATATGCGTTGATAGATGGATAGCTAAATCTCGGTGTTATACGACATTGGGCCTTTTATTTTATTTGTTCTGGTCAACAGCCTTTTGTTAACCTTTTTGTTGTTCACATGATACTTCGGTTCGTTTACATGCACCTGCGTAAGATAAGATGTAGACGGCGGCGACACACGGACATTGTGCGGTGTTAAGGTGCCTCGCCCGTAAAGATGTACCATAACACCACTTGTAGAGTAAGTAAATGAAAGCAGAGATTTTTCTAAAGTTAACTAGAGGGGACTCTGGCACTGCGATCGTTCAGCGACCATGGCAATGATGGGTAGTACACGGATTTGCCTAGTCTTCATACTTGCTGGCAGCGAATCGTATTTGTGGCTTCGTTTATTACTGTGTTTAGCTTTTGTTTCGAAGGAAAGAACGAACCCTTTTGAACTTCGTGAGCCGATTTGAAATGGTCGGCCTAAAAGAATAAGGTGGTGAAGCGAAACCGCTGAATATTTGCCGATTTTTTGTTTCGTGAGAAAACAGCTCCAAGCCACACTAACACACACGGAGCCAGAAGTACAAAAATTGTACAAATCCGTGTACTATACCCAACATTCCCATGCTCGCTGAAGCGCCGTTGATTGCAGCTCCCATAGACACTAGCGCCAGAGTTCCCTCCATATTGTATACTTAAGAAACTCTATGACTAAAAGCGCACCGTATATTGCAAGTATTACGACGCATATTAATAGTTATATCACCGAAGCAAGTGAAGAGACTGGATATTCTCCCGTGTATATGAGTACGTAAAGTACAAAATCACGCATTATTAGGCGATCTTATTTTACATATGTGTGCGAGGCCATCATGACATCTTAAACGAATGATTTGTAAGATTTACAAGTTAGTTTTCCAAGTCCAATTAAGGAGGTTATTAAACGCAGAGTACGACCGTACTGCCGTTTTCATGCGCATTAGTCTGTAACACAGTATTGGTTGGCTGAACTTAACGTTCCGAAGCGAATCAGGCTACGAGACACAGTGTACTGGGAGATGTCAAGGCATTTTAAATGGACACTAAAGTTAAACAATAAAATAGTTTATACTGATAAATTATGATCTGAAAGTTCTAGTTTTTTTTCCACCATCACAGCTTTATTATTATACGAGAACACCAATGGCAACAGGTTGACTTTTAATATTCCCACTGAAGTACTCTATGGCGACAAGACCGATTTCGAAATATTCCTTCGCATTCAGCTATACTGGCTCAACCAAATTTTCTGAAGAATCGCATATCAAGTCTTTGTCACAGTCAGAAGACAGTGTGCAAGATCACCTCCGTTAGGAGCTACGTATAGGCCCTCGTAGAAATCCTCGAAGTCTTCGACGTCACGGCGACAGGTGCGGGAACGTTCAAGTGGTGTCGCCATCCTCGTTCGCCTTTCGTGCGTTTTCTCGCTTAACAAGCGTCTTCTCAAGAGAGCGTGATGTTTTTGGCGTCTTGAAATAGTTACTTACTAACACGACAAAAATTGTCCTTCTCTTTAGTGTGCCTTGAAAGATACTCGGGTGGCCGAAATTTTGCAGAGCCACGGCTCTCAGACCCTCACTCTCATACTACCGCTGACGGAGAGGCTCCCTAATAATGGCTCCCCGCACGCCATTCATTCCGAGGTGTTCGGGCCGTTCCACGCGCTTCCCGCACAGCCGCAACGCACGTGCCGGGACCCCTGCCGCACGCAAACGGGGGACAAATAAGCCAATTGGCGACGCTGCGGGGGATGAAAGAGCGTCGCCAATTCGCTTATTTGTCCACCGTTTGCGTGCGGTAGGGGTCCCGGCACGTGCGTTGCGGCTGTGCGGGAAGCGCGTGAAACGGCCCTTCTCCAGTGAAGCTCGCCCCGCATGCGGGGATGCATCCGCGCTTGTGTACATGCTCCGGGTACTAGTACACTCTACTCCGAGTGCAAGGTGATGCACGCTAACGCCGATACCGCTTCTACCAGGCGGGAGCAGGCCCTCCGCAGCTCTACACTTGTCCGATTAACTCTGGACAGTCCAGCAGGCCCACGGAGCGACCGACAGGCTTGGTCTGGTGGTGCTGACGTGGGAAATCCGTCTTGCTGGATACCGGTAAAATTGTGCACCCACGCACTCACCCATTACGGCAAACCTTATAGAATGTTGTTGTTGTTGTTATTATTATTATTATTATTATTATTATTATTATTATTATTATTATTGCCTCCGCTTTAGCCTCTAATGCAGTTTTTTAGATTTAGGTGCCAGAGATACATAACAGGAACCTTTAAAATCCCCTTATAGCGGCCCGTGAACGAATCCGTACAGAGTAGTAGGCACAAATAAAACTTGATCGAGTTCACTGCTTCGTCAAAAGGACGCCGCAAAAACGACGGTCTTACCTCGGCAAACACATGGTTGAAGAGCTGGAGAAAAAAGGAAGAGAAGGAAAAAAGAAGAAGAGATTTCAGAGAAACGAAACTACTTCAACGTTATTTTTTTTTTCTTGAGGATATTATAAGTTGTGACGGATATTGAGTGAGCTGCATTTCAACTGCGAACTGAAATCGCACTAGTGCTCTTTTTAAGCGAAAACTTTTGAAATTCTCAAATTCTGTACTGTTCACACATATTTACATAAGCTGTTTGTGTTTCTTAATTATTTATATTTTTATAAAGTGGAAAGGCGCAGCCGTTTGAACTGGCAAGAACTTTTGGTTTATTTTTTTTTTTTACTTCAACGAACAAAAGAGGAAATCAAATTGAATAACGTGAAAACACGAGCTAGTTACACAGTATCCACAGAGCACACAAACAGCAGCAGGAAAAGCAGGAAAAGAAACATCAGGAAAAGAAACATAGAAAGCTAGACATGAGACAAGCGCTATATGTAGTCTAACAACAGTTTGTCTACGTTTCATTCCCGCTGTTTCGCCGAAATAAATTAGAAAGTACAACCAAGAGAAATATAGCCTCATATACTCACGCGGTCGGCGGTCTCGTTGTCCAGTAGCTCCACCTCGAGAAGATCTACATTGCTATAGTAAGGCTTTAGCATGTCTTTGTACTGCAAAGCAAAGTGAATAAAAGAAAAAGAAACAAGAGTTAGGAGGGTGTCACATGGAACAACCTTCTGTGTTACTCGAATAATTTTGCGAGTTTGCTAGCTTTTGTTAGGTTATTATTTTTATTATTATTTGATTTGAGTACACATGAAACACGAAGACAGAGGAAATAGGGAGAGAACAGGCTGCCAACTGCCACCTATAGGGGCCCAATGCCTGCCTGCTCCTTCGGGAAGAAAGACATAGAGGAAATAAGGGAAGGAAAAAGGAACAAGTTTCACTATGCACGGAGGTGAATTGGGTAGACTTCACTGTTCTTTTCTTTTTGAAGTTGCCAAGGAATCGAAGATGCTAATATTAAATTCTGCCTATAATTTAAAGCATAGAAGAAGCGCTTGGCTTTCATTTTACCTTATTGACAAGATATAAGGAGGTATTGGCGCTCAAAATAAAGTACTGTCCAAGTTATTATACATGTCGAAGAGGGAGCACACCGGGTCCTAAAATGAAGTATAAAATAGCCTTCTCCCAGGAGCAATATAACTTGAGACACACGCAGCACATACAATATGCAATTTGACTAACGCCTTGACATACAATAGTACACCTAAAAATTCCAAGAAAAAATTTACTGACGAATAATATACTCCCACACGGTAATTCTGAGCGCACTTTCGTGTAGGGGACTAACTGTTGTGTTTGAAGTGTTGGCTGTCAGTGGTTGTGGCGATGTAACAATCATTACTTAATGCCACAGTAACTATCAGCGCTGGAGTGGTATGCTGTGCGCGCCAATCCGTGCACTGCGGGTGTGGCGAACCATGCGGCAAGCGAAGCCAGCTGCAGTGCACGTGCCAACCCTGCACGCGCACGAGCTCCAGCTGAAGGGCTAGCGAGCGTTTCGGGGGAAGAAGGCGATGTCAGAGGCCAGTGGCTCGTGACACCGACAGGCTCCGCATTCTCTCTCTTTCGTCCTCGTTCGTTCTGTCAGTTAGGACGAGGCCGCTCAGCGCAGTGACGGGCATGCCTGTCATCGTAGTTACACGGGCACGCTAACCTCAGTTCCGGCAAACCACAGTTTACTTAAACCGCAGCCACGCGCCGTGATGGGAAGCCTAACTGCAGTTATACCACTAATCATGGTTGCACCTAACTGAGGTTGAACACCTCGGTTAAGGGAGCTAACAAACAAAATGGCGACACCTATGCCGGGCGTTGCAAGTATTGTGGCTCCAATGGAGGCCGAAACGTCTTCTCAAAGGCAAGTGAGCTGGCCTTTCTCAACGAAAGAGACGTTGACACGCGAAACAGTCCACTGAAGCAAACCGCGCACCCAACAGGGTGATAACAAACATAACAAGAGACTGATTGCCCTAGCTTTCACTTTAACCTTAACTTGACTTCAGCCACAGTTGTGAGACTAGCCCTTATTTACGCCGATCATTCTAAAAACACTCGATGAATTAGGCTCGCGGACTGCAGGTGCAAGGACGAAAGATTTACTTTAAACGAAATGTTGTTTGACGGGGTATTTATGAGAACCAGATAATCGTTTATATTTGTAATCGGCAAACTTCGTGCTTTAATATGAAGCGGCGTGTTTAGAACAATAGGCGACAGATTTGCTAGAGCTGCATGCAACTGTCCCTAACAAAGGTGCCTTCTGTGCAGGCAAAGTTTAGAAAAAAAGAATCACAGCTTTGCCGCGAAGGTGAAGCTATGAACGCGATAGCAGCAAATTGGAAAATCACGCGAAGAATGGCAAGCAGATCCAGACGTGCCCCACGTTTCTCACGCACAAACGACGCACGAAACGTCTCAAAAGTACAGATGAACGCGAATAAGCGTCTCAGTTGTTACTTCGCTGTCTCTGAAAAGCGCGCCCGTTTCACAGACGGAGGCTGTGCAGCGGGTGAAGGGACCTTTGTGCGCCACGTGACTACAACAGATTTGTTCCGGTGAAAGCCGAAAACGTACGATTCGCCCTATCGTGAAATAATGCGCGCGCATGCGTGAGCGTCCCCCCCCCCCCCCTCTCAGCGAGACAAAGTATGCGTGGGAGATGACAGCACGCGCCACAACGTCGTGACGGTCTGGCGACGCGCGCTCGTTGCGCCATCTCGCTGGTAGTGCTGAAAACACGATAGTTCCCCCGAGATGCCCATCGCTAGTGGTAAGTGGTAGGTATAAATAGCTCGCCCTTTCCACGTGTAAGCACGTGCTCCTCCGTAGCGTTAGCCTCGCACTAACATGCAAGAGGTTGGATGGTCGATTATTTTTCTTTTTTTGCGTTTCAATATATATCCAGCCGGAAGTGTCCATATAACAAATATCGCAATAAAATTTTTGGTGATTTATTGCATGGTGTACTCTACTATGGAAAAGCATTTAGCTGTGCCATTAAGCCAATTCAGCTAGTGGAGGTAAAGTCCCTTGATCTTGGGAAAGCACCGCCATCCACTTTACTCGCCGCCGCACGCTCTACCTCCTCTCTCCCTTCTCGCCCCCCCCCCCCTTTGCGTCCTCCCTGTCTCCAACACTTTTTCTGCACGATGATTGGACTCCTTCGTGGTCGCCCTTGGAGGCGCGTGGATCTTGCGCTTTGCTTGTGTTTTTCTTTTTCACCCAAGCCATTTTTCGCCGACGCTCTGCGAAACACGCGTAGCACGCGCTTTGTTTTCTGTGTTTTGTGCGGGCGCTAAGCCGTGCTGTTGCGCCTATGACAGCATCAACCACAATGAAAGTGGTTACGCACTTTTTATGATACTCCATAGTAAACGCAATGACTTGAGCAAGCAGCAGTGGCTGCACAACATCGGCCGAAAAAAAAAAAAACTTCATTCCGACAATGAACAACATACTTTGCGAGGTAAGGCACCTTTCCTATTGCTCGTATCACTGTACCACCGAATGCTGAATTTAAAATATTATTTCGACCTGCTCATCAACATACATGTTTTTAGGGGCGAAGCTCCTTTCGCCGTGGGTCGTACGTCCCGCGTCGTCGTAGTAGCCAGTTGCATCGAATGTCAATAAAAACAGTGTCACATGATATCCACGAAGCAAATGATGATGAGTGGGACGAAGCGTCCATCAGTTAGTTCATGCTTCCGTGCGTCCGTGTGTGCATCCATCCATCTGTCCGTGCCTGCGTCCATTCGTCCGTCTGTCTGTGCGCCAGTCCATCCACACCTTTCACCCCACTCGTCATCATTCACCTCGTGGCTGTGATTTTTTTCTCGGCTATTCGTGCGCTGCTTCAAAATGGAGCAGTCATCAACATGCTGATTTTCTTTGTTAGAAACAAGAAGAAAGATAAATCGTTTAACGTTTTTACACAATGTTATGTCAGTCAAAGTTGTCTTCAATGTACCTTGTTGCATTCAGCCAGCCACTGCTAGGAATACCCGCCATAAACATGATAGATCCTTGGCACCCATATTGGCACGAACCAATGCTTACAAATAGTTAATTTCCCAGAACATTCAATGAAAATAATTTACTGCCTGATGAGACTATTTCGGCTAACAATTTCGCTATGTCGCAGGAACGTTATCTACTTGATGGTTAGAGAGTTCGAATGATTTATATATTATGTTGCTGTTACACAGACATGTGACCTCTGTTGGCGTATGGATACACGTTTTTTTTTGCTGTTAAAAATCACTTGATGTTTCTTATGTTCCTTCTGCCTGGAACAAAACGCTGGTCTCCAATATATCTAAGTAAACAAATAAAAATAAATAAACATAGTCAGCTCATACTTCCTCGTCTCGCACGCGATTTGGCAATCGTCGAAAATGCACCATTGTAGTTTGCTTTTGCTGCGAACAATTACGTGGGATGACGCAGATTTTCGATCACATGTTTTGTTGACTGTTAGGATTCGTTTACAAGAACATTTGTTGGAGGAAACAAACGAATGGATGAATGGAGATGACACTAATTGGCACTCGTTTCCATAAGAGTATTTATATTGTTATTTGTTTTTAGAGGAGAGAATGAACACAAAAATTATGAAAGATATGCGGTCCATCGAAAAGAATAAAGAAATACAGAAACACAACAAAAAAGGTATAGTGTGGTGATAGCGAGTGAGCCATTTTATAGGAGACTGTGGCCGCAATCGTTTTGATCATGCCCGCATTAGCATGTCTTCCATTCCGTAATAAGAAACTATATTATCATTTATAGCAGTACCGCATGAGTACTTCTGACCAGGTTCAGTCAGTCCGGATAAGATTTCTCAGTCGTTATTGACACGCAGATTATCATGACATTCCTGGTGCAGAGTTTCCATTGTCATAAGTAACACGATCGGTAGTTTCTTTGACAGAAACGTAAAACCACAGTTCTAATTACCTATTTTTTATCTTTCTATTATTCTAGTAGATGAGTCACTGTTGGTGACATTTATTCGTGTTGACGTTGCTCAAAGGTCTTCTTCAGTTTCGAAGTCTTCTTCAGTCATTGCAATATGTGAAGCTGAAAGTACCCGTGTCGTATACCGGCGCACAAGCATGAAAATTATCCGAACACAGACGGACATGCCGCAAGCGGAACTACGTCGGATGCAAACGTACAGCACGTTATCATGCGGCAGGAAAACATCCGCATCGTAGAATTCACCATAAAAACTTTCATTTAATTCGCATGCCCCACTTTAACGATCTATGGAAGAAGCTAATCCTTTAATAAACGGTTGCCTCAGTGTTCTTAAATTTATTATCACCATTTAAAAAATTTGACCACTACTGTGGCGCGCAAACTGCCGGAAATAAATCGCCTCCATTGAATTCCGTGATGAGCTCGCGGGAGCGTCGGCGAAAAATGGCGCCGCGCGCCACACGTACGGCAAGCGGGCGAGGAGAATAGAGGAGGAAACGCGCGCGTGGAGGAGTGTCGTTACTTTCCCAGGCACTGCGCCGTGTCGCCTGTAGGCAGACAGAAATTAGGTGCCTTCTTCCTTTTCCTCATGAACCACTAACAACAACAACTTTCCCAAGATCAAGGGGTTTTAACTGGAAGCAACGACAAGCACCCCTCCGTGGTGGTCTGGTGGCTAAGGTACTCGGCTGCTGACCCGCAGGTCGCGGGATCGAATCCTGACTTCGGCGGCTGCATATCCGATGGAGGCGAATATGTTGTATAGGCCCGTGTGCTGAGATTTGGGTGCACGTTAAACAACCCCAGGTGGTCTAGATTTCCGGAGTCCTACACTATGGCGTCTCTCGTAATTATATGGTGGTTTAGAGACGTTAAACCCCACATATCAATCAAACAGCGACAAGCATCCCCGTCATTGAATGCATATGTATGAATCTATCACATAACGCCTTTCGCGCAAGTTTCAATTCAACCGGCATGATTTTCACAGATGCTTCAGGAATATGCGTGCATAGTGTGCGAATATTTTCTAAGCAGCCATAGCAGTCATATTGTCGTTGCAGCAGCGAAAAGCAATACTAGGACAGACTCGTATCTTCTATCTTAATCTTCATTGTCACAGTAAAGCATGGACTCTCCAATTAAAATTGCAAATCGATAAACACAGTACTGGAGGCCAGTGATGAACAGCTTCGTGCTAATAATAAATGATGGATGGATGGATGGAAAAACTAATAAGTGTCCGGCAGATTCACGAGGCGGACAGATACGTCCACATCCTTTGGTTCCCTGCCCACGCATTAGGGAGGATTAAAAAAAAATTGCTGAAGTGGAATCTCCCGCAACGCCATGCCAGCAGAAGTGAAGTCAGTTACTGCCACTGCCAAGGTGGCGGAAACATGCTCTTTTTTGATAGTGCCCACTTAGAGATCAAAGGGCTTTGATATGTTAGTGTAAGTGCTATGTTAGTTCTATAGTAAAATAGAGTTGTTCCCGACGAAATAGCACACAGAAACGAGTATGGGTGACTGAACTTCCCAAGAACTTAGCCTCCAATAAGAGGCGCACCAAGGAAAACTAGTAACACTAAGACGCACTTGGAGCGCTGTGTGACCCGAAAAAGTTTCCACATTACACTCGTTGGTCGTGCGAGGGATACGCTATGTTCTTAATCGCCTAACGGTGATGCTTTACCATGCCCCTTGTAAGATGGCCACCGCAGCCGCCATCTTGCCAGATGCACGGCTTCACTCTGACACTGTAGCACGCCCCTAGTAAGATGGCCGCCACAGCCGCCATCTTGCCAGATGCACGGCTTCACTCCTAGGCAATGATTTCCACTCCAGCCTTTTTTAGTCCTCCTTGCCACACACCACTAGGTAACCCGGAGGACAGTCCGAATGAAGTGGCGCACAGGCATCATACTCATAGTTAAAAAAATGGGAGCATATATATCCAATGGCGGAATGATGAAGAGTAGGGCGAAGCATCCGTCCGTCCATTCGTTCTTGCTTCCGTCCGTCCATGCGTCCGTCTGTGTGACCGTCCATGCGTCCATCCGCCCGTTCGTGTGTGCGTCTGTTCGTGCGTCCGGCCGTCCATTCGTGTGTCCATCCCTGCGTTCGCCCACGCATCCGCCACTGCGTCCGTCTATGCATCCGTCCGTCCGTGCAGCTATCCGTGCATGCGTCCGTGATTCTGTCTGTGTGTCCGTTCGTCCACCTATTCAACACTCCAAGTACCACCATCTCGAATCTTTTCATCATATATTCCGCATATATAAGTACCGCAATCCGGCAGACATTCCAAGGACTAAACGAGAGGTGGCACACGCACACTTTCTTACGGCTTGCACTTCGTGTTTACTTCCCACCTAGAACTACCTCGAGTTCATGGTATATACTAGTTCACTGTATTCATGGCACTGCGGCCCAACGCTCGCTAAACCTTTCTAAAACTAAGGAGGCTACGCCCAGCGAGTATAACGTAGCAACCCTTTCTTGTCATATAGTGCTCAATGAACATGCCAAAGGCTGCTAATAGGGAATGAGAGACAGGAGAATTCGGCTTTTAGTTAACGTGCACGCTGCGAACTTTTTTATTGTTCAACAACGCACAGGAGAAATCTCCCACCGGTACCACCTTGCAGGTCAAAGCGTAAGACATGTTACACACTACGACGAGGGACGAACCGGTGCCGCTTTAAGAAGCTTCGCCCCTAAAAAAGATAGTTGGCTGCCGATCCACGCAGCGAATGCTGATGATGGAGCGAAGTCCCTTGGACGATTATGAAAGGTCTATGGAATGTTGATTAAATGATTACGATGGTGCCAGGAAGGCGCCGCGGGGCGCCAACGAGCGCCAGGCGAGGCACTCGCGTTTTGCTTGGTATAACGTCACTGTGCCCAGCGCGTGTCCAATCACGCAAGTGAGGAGGCGCGCACATAGCGTTCCATTCTGACCGACCCCGTTTCCACGGGCACACTTTGGAGCTTACAAAGTGACGAACGGACGGACGGACGAATGGACAGATGCACGGCCGTACGGACAGATACGCGAAGGGGCGGACCGACATATGCACCGGGTGCAATCTAATTTTTAAAGTTTGTGCATGCTATAAACGCTCTCTTACGGTATGCGTAACACCTCAGTTTTTTTGGTGTGACGGGAAGATACGGCAACGACGGCATCGACAGACATCGTGGGAGGCCAAGGAGCTTCGCTCCTGAAGAAGGTCACACTAAACTTCAGTCTTCTCTATTCTACAAGGTATGTAGATTATATTACCCCTACGGGAAGATACAGTCGTACCTTCAAACATATCATCTGTCCTGACTCGTTCTCGGGTCAAATGGCTTGTCCCGCAAAGGCGCACTAATTACCTCTTACAATCAATAGTCTAGAAAGTCCCTTCACTTTTCAATAAGTATGAAAACGTAGGTATTGTTGTTCGTGACTTAACCTGAAAAGAAATGAGTCATTTTTTTATTTTGTTTTCCAATAATCCGTGACGCCTGTGTATGAGAAGAAGCATATACGTGTAGACCTACTAAACGATTGCGGAAAGTATCCCTCTTTCTCATGATTTACTTATGATATCTATTTCAAGTTTCGATTATGACACGAAGTTGCGTTGTTTTGCTGCTTTTTGCTTTTCAATAACTCTGGCAAATGACCACTGTTCTATACAAGCTCATTCCTTATGTTTTCATTATTAAAAAGAATGCATACTGGAATAATTTGTTTCGTTGGGCGCTGCCATAAAGCGCCTTCGGGCACTCTAGGGCTGTTTGCGGCAGCTTTTCGCCTGAAGGACCCCCAAGAAATTGTAACAAAATGTTGGAAATAAAGATTCGACCAATTCATTGATCGATTGACTGAATTATCTATCCATTTATTTATTTATCGATCTTCCATGTTGAAATGAGTGAGGACGTGAAGGTTCTTTCGCGTATATGCACTAAAAGGACAAGGGAAGGCAAAACACAAATAAAATGAAGGGACGCCATGTAAGGGATGTCCACACTGCTTGCTTGAGTAACTAACGAGATGGAAACGCATATATATGTCTAACAGCAGAATAAGCCAATAGGCGAGGCATAACACAATTCTACGAAATTGAACATGTGCAGTTGCCGTAAATATGAAGCCGAACACCGAAATTACATTCAAGACACCACCACAGTGACGGCGAGACGGAGTTCCAAAACGCAAAAGCATTTTTAACGCTGAAAGCTCCATCACAAATGTATCTCTTCTAATCAGTGTAGGTCAGGTCCTCATCCACACATCACAATTAATACTAGCCCAAATACGTACGTGGTGTTTCGTTTGAAGTTGTTAACGATTGTAACTTTTTTAGGGGCGAAGCTCATTAAGGCGTGGGCTGTGCGTCACCTGTATGTAGCCACCTTTCGTTTAGTTCTTGCAGTGTTCACTAGATGGCGGTACTTGTAGCTGACGATGAAAAGATACAAGATGTTGTAAACTAGACGGCGGTACTTGTAGTTGATGATGAAAGGTGCGAGATGTTATAAAATAGGAATGATGTCACATATGGCGCGTGTCATTGGTGGAAGGCAATCGTTTGATTTAGTGCGGCGACGTACGCTAGGGGGAGCGTTGCAATAAAATCGAGTGGGCAAAATGTACGGAGGATTCATGGTTTGCCAGGTTTACCTCCGGAGCTTCGCCCAGTCATCATCATTCACTTCGTGTATATGGCGGCACTTTTCAATGTGTGAGTTTCAATGTCTCAAAACCACCATATATGATTATTAGTGACGCCGTAGTGGAGGGCTCCGGAAATTCGGACCACCTGGTGTCATGTAACGTGCACTGACGCCGCGCGCTAGACGGTCCTCTCGTCCTTCACCCCCGTCGAAATGCGATCGCCACGGCCGGGGGTCGAACCCACGACCTTTGGGTCAGCAGCGGAGCATCGTGACCACCACACCACAGCAGCGGAAAACGACCACAAAGTGCACGAGGACAAAACAAAAATGGTAGAAATGATTTCGAGCAAGGTTTCGCTTACCACTGCTTCCTGCATTACGTAACGCTAACTCATATAGCTTAGTTATTGCGTTAGCGGCCACGACAAGGTTCCCGCAAAGTTCGATGAAACACCATGGGCACTCATCTCGTGCTTTAACTATTAATTTTTTTGTCTTGTTGCTGCTTTCAAGGATGACACGCAGCGCACCATCGCGATAGCGGGATCGCTCGTAAACCGGGAACGGCCAGTAATATTGCGAATTACTCACCATGGGGCGATGGTCCGGATGAAACAGGATGTGGCCGTTCTTGTTGATCATAAACGAGTAGGCGTTGACGCCCAGCTGTCGTATTACGATACGGGGCAAAACAAAAAAAAGAGAGAGAGGCAGTTAGCAAACAGTCCAGCTGTGCTCTTACGCGCAACTGCGAAACACCGATAAAAATTCCTGAGTGATTTATGGAGAAAGAGTGCTTTTTGGCGTCTTTACCCAAGGTTTTGGACAATATATGGTGCAAATGACAAACTTCAGCGGTATAGCGCGGCCTAGGAGGCGAGAAATGGCAGTAGACACAGTCAATTCAAGCGATGCTCACGTGTTTTTTTGAAGCACTGACATTCGGATTGTACGCAGTGCACGCAACACATGTTATGCTAATCATGCACGTTTCCATCTAAGAATATTCCTTTGTCGATCAGTGCCTCCAACGCTACGCTATTTTCTATCGCGTGTGTTGATTCGTGCTAATTATGTGTTTTTAATACTATTGATACCCTTGTTGAGATGAAGAGAAAAAGAGTTAAGCAGAAAAACCTAGCTCGCTTAGGTTTAATTGGGAACGCAATCGTAAAATACACACTATGTGGTGCAAGAAGGCTAACAATTTCACACGCGTGTTGTTACGCGAGTAAACCTTGTATAAGATTTGCAAACAAAACTAATCCCGGGTATCGCCGATAAGGTTTTTTTTGCGCCTTGTAAGCTTGCATACTTTAAAGTGTACACGCATTAATTTCCTTGCCCTGTATTATTCGTTTACCTGAAAATGTTTTTTCATCTGTGGCCACAGATTAGGAATTCGCTATGTATACGTGCGTTCACTTTGAGCAGAACTAATGCGCAAAATGTGTACGATTATACTTCACCCACTCGTTTGGCCAGCAATAAGGTTGAAATCGAGAGTTGGACGGAAGCTCGTGTGGTCATTAACAGACACGAAGACAAATAAAACGAGACACTGACCACAATAAAAGCCAAAAATAAAAAAGGGGGCAATCCGTCTGGGCTCCCGCATGAGAGCCTTGTTCACAAATGAAAAAAAAAATGTGAACAAGGCTCCGGTACCACGATAAAAGTAGAAAGAAAGACGTATGGGAGCCGAAACGTCTTGCTTTTTGTTTTTATTATGGTCATCGTCTTGTTTTATACGTCTTCCGTAACAACGTTGCTTAAGATTATTCTAATCTGTTATGAACAGTTCATAACTGCAGTGGGCTCAGATCAACTGGCATCATAACGAAAAGTTATCGGTCTTATTACGGCACTGGCTCATGCAACCCGCCGTATACAAAGCGAGCATATGAGTACGCATAGGAGGAGGCAACAGGGCGGTAAGCAGCCTGTGGTAAGGGGCCCATCGTAAGGAACTTGATGTGGGAATCCCGTTCTTCTATTAGAAGCCCATTATAAGGACACCATTGTGAGGAACCCGCTGTCCGCATCCGGCTATTAAGATCCCATTGTAAGGACCCCGTTGTAAAAATTCCGTTGTAAGGAACCCGTTGAGGGCATTCTGTTGTAAGGAACCCGTTGTGGGCATCCTGTTTTAAGGAGCCCACTGCAAGGAAACCTCTGTGGGCATCCCGTTATTATGATCCATTTGTAAGAGAGCAGTTGTGGGTATCTTCTTATTAGGAATCCGTTGTAGGGATCCCGTTGTGGGCATCCCGTAAGGAAACCGTTGTAAGGAGTATATATTTACGACTATATTTACAGAATATGACCTTCGTTCCTCTCTCATAGCTTTTGAAATGCTCACCTTGAAAGGATGGGCGACCTTCTGGAATTCCCGCAGCGGCACGTCGATACCGACGACACCGAGCAGGTTGGCAGTTCCAGCCTGCAACCAAGAAAGGGCGTGATCAACACGAACGACGGCAAGAACATTGTAATAAAACCTTTTCTATAACTTTTCTCTTGCAATTTTTTAGATACCAACCATCTTATGTCAAGGCCGGTGCCCCCCCTTCCCCTTCTCACTCACGCGGTGCCCCCCCCCCCCCCGCACTGTGTATGTGCGTCCCCTTCCTTCTTTCTCCTCTCCTACGCTCCCCCTCTCTCTCCCGATACAGCGGCTAAGACAACGAGACGCTTCCTCAGTACACGCCATCGCTTCGTAGCTTGTGATCGTCGGTCTTGCGGTGTTCCGCGTTTTCGCGAGACAGAGCGCGTATGCTTTGGATAGCACTGGATCACGTTCGATGTCTCTGGCGTGCGCGTTAAGGGACCCGCTGCTGAGCAGTGCTAAGGTCATGGTCACCGGCAGGGTTGGTCAACCGGCAGCATTAACGGCAGTGGTCACGGGCATCAAGTGCCCGTGACCACTGCCGCGTTGGTTATGTAGAATTCTGAACTAGAAGTGTGGCAGCTTGGGCTAGTTGGCATGACATGACGATAGTTATAGCACTAGAACAGAACGACGACGCAGAGACATGTTCCTCTTGTCTCTTTGTCGTCGTTCTGTTCTCGCGCTATAACTATCGTCAAGTTCTGAACGAGCTTTTGTGGGTGCCATTAACCATCTCACTGCTGCTTCGCGTCTACACACGGTTCCCTTTCGCGGGAGATGGCGTAATTTTTTTCCTACTGCGAAAGCAATTATATGGACACTCTCGGCTTGATTTCACCGTCGGCGTCGGCGACGATGCCATGCAGCGTATATGTATACGTATCTATATATACGGAAACGCAAGAAGGGAAAAAATCACAGAAAAAAGACTCCGGCGTGCGGAATTGGACGTGGGACATCTACGTCGTGAATGCGAGGCGTTAACCACTGGGCCACCGAGGGACACCTCCTTCGACATTCAAACGGCAAGCTATATATATCTACTACTTACCGCAGTTTGCGGACAGTTCGGGAAGAGTGGGAGGGAGAGGGGGTGCTGTGCTATCATGTTTTCAGCATTATCAGCCAGATGACGCAGTGAGCAAGCGGCGGCTCTCATCTACCACGCGTACTTTGGCCCGCGAGGAGTATAGGGGGGGGGGGGGCACGCTCGATCACGCACCCTTATCTTGCAGTGGGGAGAATAATACGTCTCGGCTAGCCTTTGAGCTTCGTCGGAACGATTCTGTTGTAGTTACCGGGCGCACAAAGGTCACTGCTGTCGTTGAGCAGCCTCCGTTTGCGAAAAGGGCGCGCTTTTCAGACACAGCGAAGTAACAACTGAGACGCTTATTCGCGTTAATCTGTACCTCTGAGTACGTTGCGTGGGTCCTTTGTGCGTGAGAAACGCGGGGCACGTTTCGATCTGCTTTTCACTCCGCGCGTGACCTTGCAATTTGTTGCTATTGCGTTTATTGCTTCGCATTTCTGGCAAAGCTGTGACTTTTTGTTACAACAGCGAATAATTGTAGTAAAAGTAAAATATTCTCGAGCACGACGTATTCGCAGAGGTGGCACCGGACGGGTGTTTAGGCGTCCTCATTTATTTAAACACTACCCCAAACAGCTCACAGCAATGTGCTAGAATGATCAGATCGTCAACCAAAGCACACATACAGAGTGATATCTCAGACGCACACTACAATGCCCCAAAGTATTTGTTGCTTCTTCTCAGGAAAAGGAATAGTTAGGTTTCTTGCGTACTTCTCGTCCGTTTAACATAAACCTTAAACTGCTAATATCTTGCATTGGCGAATGGTAATAGACAGTTCAGAGTCCGCTGTTGAAAAATGGTGTGTCGATCACGCCGTTACTGCATCTGCACTTTGGCTTCTCTCACGAGATCAGTGGAATAAATTAGGTCGACCAGCTGTTCGTAACAAGTTGTCCTGCAACTCGAAATAAGAAAGGCGACCGGCGTATGCCAAGTACACACGTTTATATTGGTTTGTACCTTTCAAATTTGTATTTCCCGCAAACCTTGCACATTTTAAAACGATTCAGTAATTTGTTTCATATGTAAGAAATAAAGTGCATAACAAAGCTCATCACGGAGCGAACTTTTCACAGCTGTTTCTGAGCGTCATGATGTTGAAATATTTTTTTAAAAAGGAACACAACTGAAACACCGTTGGATAGAAAACGTCACTTGCACAAACATCAGTAATGAAAGCAGCATTTTTGATTTTTGGAGCAGATTCTGGAGCAGCAAAAATGGTGCTTTGGAGCAGAAAGCAAAATATTCCAAACGACATCTAGAGTTCAATGCCTCATTTAGGCCTCTTATATACGATAATATTTATTATTAAACATATTGCACATACAATTATCACTGCCAATTGCAAGAATCATAACTAGGCAGATGAATAGCATGAACGCCAAGCGTTGTTTTCATATTTTGCAAAAGTAGCCAGCATTGAAATCCTCAAAAATCAAATAGGCTATACGAATTACCATTTGAAATGCTTGTAATTGTGACACAAACGACGTCGAAGCTGATGAAAGTGCTAAAGGTAATCAGTCACATGTGATAGTTGTCACAGCAGCGGCTAGCATGACTAAGAAGTCTTACGACATATCACCAAAGTGGATCTTGAAGCTTATTATATAACTCTGATGCCGCAGAGCTTTTAACTTTACGTCCTCTCCTAATAATCCATCTATCTCATCAACATGACAGGAAATAGAGATGTGAAAGCTCCTTCAGCCTAAACTGATTAATTAGGCATGCACATACAATACCCTTTAACAACTGCTACGATATGTTGACTGCAAAGTCACGTCGCCATACTCACAGTGTCGTTGCTGGTGTTGTACACAGGGGCCGCCACTGTAGTGTAGAGTGGCGGATACTGCACATAAGCAGGAAAGTGACAGAAGGTGAGGTTTAGCATAAAGCAAACAAGATACTTCGGTTATTGCCACAGTTCACGTTAGGTCACAAGTTCTCGGGTGCAAATTTAGCGATACGGGACGTCATCCCCTTGCAGAGAAAATAAATGGAAGATACACGAAAAAAAAAACAACAACAAGAAACTCTGTCAATATTATAGTGTGTTTTATGTTCGACTGATGATTGTAACAAAAAATAAATAGGTGGAAATGTACAATTATTCAAAGATTCCCTACGCCAATGACAAAGCATTTGCGACGTAACTTGCTGGTATTTCATAACTAGGAGACGACACGATCTTTCCACTGCGATATAGCAAACCTTCGTTAAACCGTGAAAGAAGAAAACAAGAACACTGTTGCTTCTTAGAAATAGCTGCAAGTTGTCGTGAAAAGAGTTACACAACTTATACCAAGAAACGTCTTACCATGAAAAAAAAATGTGAAAAGGCCTCTGGAGCCTTTCGCATCTTTGCAGAAACTTTAGCAGCAGAAAGAACGAATGGTATAGTACAAACATACCATATGCAATATCATCCAGATGTTTCCCATGCTTCCATATGCAAGGTCAAGATGAAAACATGCTTTCTTTATGTCTCTCAGGCATGAGGTACCGAAATGTGTTAATGTGTACGCAAGCCACATCTATTTTATTACCGTTACCGTTGCTTGATAACACTTATTTGTTCAGCAAGTGATTTCACATCAACATGTGACTTGTGATAAAAAAAATATTATCTGAGGTATTACGTCCCAAAACCATGATATAGTTATGAGGGATGCTGCACAGTGGAGGGTTTGTGGCTCCGTTGAACAGAAACGGTAACGGTACCATGGGTTACGGTGACTGAACTATTTGTAACTTGCAGGCGACTATTGCCCTCGAGGACATACCGTGCAACCAGCTACGTCATGACGTCACTCATACGATGCCGGGTTGACTTTGCTAGAACACCACATCTCCTGCGCTTTTGCTGTGGACATCATGCGTGCTTTTCTTTGTTTTGAAGCTCAGTGCTCAAAGAAGCGGTAAGACCTAATAATTCGGGCAAGCAAACTACGAATCAGTGCCCCCGGTGGCACTCTCTTGTCTAATATGCACTGTAAAATCGCGACTAAGAACCAGCGCAGCCATGGGAGACGATGCAAGTGGTGTCGCAAAAGCAAAGCTGCCGTATTCCACAACTACGCATCCTATCTGTGACGTCAAAACGATCGCAGCGCTGGCCTCTCTAGTGGAAGGCCCTCGCGGCCAATACCGACAATGTGAGACCGACATGCATTGGGAAAAACGTCGTGTAAACACTTATATTGTGCCTGGGGCTTCAATTCTTCGTCAAGAAGCGATCAGTCGGCTCCCCGAGTGTCTAACGCCCTCGAACATTAGCTAAAGAAAAGATGTCGTGAAATGGGGAAAGTACATATGCAGCAGCAAGAACAAAGGCCCTACCGTTTGTGAGCATTGATACTTATCCCAACGACAAAGTACGCCTCTCAAATGTCTCATGAGCAGCGGTGGTACGAAGGCTGCTAATCAGATTGATTGATTTGTGGGGTTTAACGTCCCAAAACCACCATTTGATTATGAGAGACGCCGTAGTGGAGGGCTCCGGAAATTTTGACCACCTGGGGTTCTTTAACGTGCACCCAAATCTGAGCACACGGGCCTACAACGTTTCCGCCTCCATCGGAAATGCAGCCACCGCAGCCGGAAATCGAACCCGCGACCTGCGGGTCAGCAGCCGAGTACCTTAGCCACTAGACCACCATGGCGGGGCAAGGTTGCTAATCAGAGTGGCTCAGGTTGAATGTATGTCTGCCACTACGCAACTGACCTTCATTTAGGAAAATTTTTCAGCGAACAGCTGTAACGGCAGTGCGTTACCTATAAGTGGGATTATAACCATGTCTAGGACGTTCATCACGAAAGGGTTCAATGTGTCAAGTAAACACGGACAAAGAAAAAACAAGAACACAATTTAACAGTAGTACTGCGTTTTCATATTAAACAGACTTTCACTCGTAATGTTAATAAAGTGATTGACCAAAGGAATTAGTCCTACGATGAACTTTAGGTGCCACAGCCAAAACGTTTCAAATGCTATGACATTTCATATTTTTTAGGATTGTGTTTCTAGAAACGTACAGCTCACCTCCTCCACCTTAAGCAAGAACTGATTTCAGACCTATAAGCTTGATGCCATACGAGCAAAGTGAAAAACATTTTGATGGCACGGGATTCGAACTCAGCCGTGTTAAGTTTTCGCCCACGTACATCTTCCTTTACCATTCCTGTATCGAATCCACGGAACAGTTACCTTCCGCTACGTTTTATATGACTTCATGAACACAACACAACGCTAATGTAGTTGTACATTGTTGACAGCTGGGCTAGTCGCTCTATGGGGAGCATTTCAGAGAGTAGTACCGGTTAACGAAGCATTAAAAGAACGGGAAGATACAACACCAGCGTTGTCTGTGCTTCCCTATCCTGCCCTTCTCTCTGTTCGTCAATAACACGTTTGAATGTGATACAATTGCGACTTATTAGACAAGAGAACCTCTAGAATTTTCGTATTCTTCTTGGAAAATCGATTGGGGCCAATAGGCGCTACAGTACGGAGGACGCACTTTTTTCTTTGGCGGCCTCCGCAGCGCCTCGGCCTGTGTGGAGGAGCGGGCGCGGCGCCTCAGCGCCGGCGCGTCTGCCTGGTCGGCGGCCAAGTATTCGGCCGAGGAGTCGTCGCTCGCGACCAGGGTCTCCCCGTCGCTGTAGTACGAGGGCTCGGGGTCCTTCTTGCGGAACAGGCGCTGCTGCAGGATCAGTTTGCGAACCTGCGCCTTCTCGCGCTCCTCCCAGAGCCAGTCGGTCAGCTTGGGCTCCTGCGCCGCCAAGATGGCAGCCGCGGCCACGGAGCATAAGGGACAAGGGTGAGGAGATCGGGAAAGGAAGTGGAAGAACGAGAAAGGCAGGCATGTTTGTTAAGGCAGTTAGTCGTGGTTGAAAGGATGAGAGCGTCGAGGACTTTGATTAACGGCAAGAGCAATCAAAACCAAAACGAACACAATTTCAATATCATGCACGAGTGCAACGACAGTGCATAGCATCGTGTTCCTGATATGTCGCGTGCATTGTGAACAGCAGTAACACACTGTCAGCAGGCCGGCCAATAATATTGAATAGGACACGGTAGATTGGCCCCAGCAAGCACTTCCCGATTGTAAGTGGAGCAGGCGAACGCTCTGTAAAAATCGTGCAAGCGAACGCTTCGTGTCGACGCTGCATGTAAACGCTGCGTAGGCATCCTTGACGTAAATGTTACGTGTGAACGTGAAGTTTATACGCTATGTTAAACGTGCATGCAGGTGGTGCGTGGGAGCGCTACGTGTCGACGCTTTATGTGAACCCCGGATACGAGCACTGCATGGGAACTCTGGGTGTAACGGTTTTCTGTGTGAACGTCAAGTGCAAACACCATGCGAAGCATACAAGTACTAATTACAAATGAACGCCACGTGTGAACGCAGCATATGAACCCTGCATGTAAACGCTACATCGAAACGCTTGACGTAAATGTTTCGAATGAATCACAATAGTGAATCGTTCGGCTAGTTGGTTTGACATTTGGCGCAGAAGAGCGAAGGCTACTTCCTTCAAAGTTGTCTTCCTCTGCTCGCAAGCCTCCTCTCTTCTACGCCAAATTTCGTGTGAACGTTACGTGTGAACGCCACGTGAGGCATGCTTGCAAGCTGTGCGCGCGGACGCTGCGTGTAAACGGGGCATGTTAAGCATGTTGCATTTAAGAGCTACGTGTGAGCACTCCGCGAGACCGGATGTGAACATTACGTGTGAACGTTACGTGTAAACGCCACACGAACCCTATACAGGAAAGTCGTGCGTGCGCACGCTACATGAAAATGTTTCGCGCGAAGCCTACACATAAGTACGGCGTGCGAGCATTCCGCACGACCACCGAGTGTAAACAGTGCAAATCGGAACGCTATTGGTGCACGTTACGAGAACACAGCAAATCAAATGCTGCTGTATCACGCTCCTAGCACGTGCTTCTGCCCTCACGGATGACAGATAGTAGCTTAAAGACACGCGCGTGTTATTCAGAGCCGCGTTTACCCATGCGTTTACGCCATCGCACTGCGTTTGCGCAACACTACGATGCGATGTGTTGTTTTGTCGCAGTCGTAATAAACGTGGCTTACATTGTGCCAGACGCGTTCAGAAGAATTCACACACCACGGCTGCGGACAATTATATGTGGCATTAGCAAAAAAATTAGAATATAAACAATAACATTATCATAAAATAATATCAATGGACAGGCAAATTTGTAAAGCTTGAATGTACATCTGCAAGTCATATCCCTGCTAGCACAAAAAAAAAATGGTTATCTACATTCAGGTATGTATCTTCTCAATTGAAAAAAAAAATCGGTTTCGAAGAAATCAAAAACACGGAGTATTCAATCCGGTTGATTGATGATTGATTGATATGTGGGGTTTAACGTACCAAAACCACCATATGATTATGAGAAAAGTTGTAGGGGAGGGCTCCGCAAATTTTGACCACCTAGGGTTCTTTAACGTGCACCCAAATCTGAGCACACGGGCCTACGACATTTCCGCCTCCATCGGAAATGTAGCCGCCGCAGCCGGAATTCAATCCCGCGACCTGCGGGATTCAATCCTGCTGGGAAACGCATCTCGAAGATTCATCTCGGAAGAGGTTTCTCATTTTCACAATCTGGAAGTCGTCTAGAACAAGGTTTCGATCTAAGCCCTCATGAAGAAGGTAATCAGCGCAAGAAAGAAACAAGATTAGGCAAATAAAGAATAAAATAGAGAATTATTTAAAAATGAGAAAGAAACTGTATCAAAGGAAATAAGGAAATGAAGGAAACAGTTTTGAGGAAGCAAATGAAACAACGCCACCGGAGAGGGAGATGAAACAATGCACAAATAAAAAGAAGGAGGCAAGTGGAAATGGAAAGGGAGAAGTAAATAAAGAAAATAAAACAATTAGAATACAAGGAAGGTTACATGAGAGATGGGGAATGCGGAAAATAAGAAAGGAATAAAGGGATGAAGTACTTCATGCTTGAATTCTCGCAAATGAACAAAAAAGCAAGCTCAAGGGAACAACACGGAGTCGGGAAATGAAAAGACAGGAAAAATGGTACTGAAAGGGGAACACTAAAAATAATGTCGAAAGAATAAAGTAATGAAAAAATGAATTAAACAGGCAAACAAAGGAAAAAATTGAAAGGTGGGGGGCGTAAGTGTAAAGGAAGGTAAGAAATAGAGAATCACTTGGGAAATATGGAACACGATACAAGGAAGAAATTAAAGAAATAAAGAATGAGAAAACAAATCAGAACAAAAAGGCGTGATGAACCAATCGAGGATGTTAAGAGAGAAATAAAGCTTCGACGAAGAAATGAAACCCGTGGAGTTCAACCCAGAAGCAAAACTCGGGGTAGCAATGACGACCGAGACGGGCCGGCTGCAGCGGAGGCGCCAGATTCGCCGGCGCGTTTCGACAACGCCTCCTTTTCGACGCTCGGAGCACACAAAGGGAACAAACGGGACAGAGAGAGGCAGACGCAAAACGTCCGGAATGGAAGGAAAGATCCCCATTCTGCGGCGGCCGCCTGGGTGAACGTCTTTGCACACTTCCCGATTCCCTTCCTCTGGCAACCGTGTCCTCAATCTCGCCGCTCGCGCGGACAATGGGGTCTGCGGTGCTGGTGGAGGCCAGCTGGCCGCGCAACAAACGAATCAAAACGGGGAGAGAACGACGCTAAAAAAAATGCGTCGAGGAAACAAAAATGTGAGAGAGAAAATGACAGAGTCGCGGAGGAAGAATGAACGCTGTAAACGAAAGACAGAAAATGAGTGTTTGTGTTTGTTCCAGAAAGGAGCCAGTGTCGTAAACGATTTGCGTTTTTGACACTGGTGTACATGGTCACGAGGTCAGGACCAAACGTGGTGCCATTGAAAGGAAGAAATGTGCATGGTTAGTGTGATCGTCGGCTGGTAAGTACGAGTATGTATGTATGTATGTATGTATGTATGTATGTATGTATGTATGTATGTATGTATGTATGTATGTATGTATGTATGTATGTATGTATGTATGTATGTATGTATGTATGTATGTATGTATGTATGTATGTATGTATGTATGTATGTATGTATGTATGTATGTATGTATGTATGTATGTATGTATGTATGTATGTATGTATGTATGTATGTATGTATGTATGTATGCATGTATGTATGTATGTGTGTGTGTATGTATGTATGTATGTATGTATGTATGTATGTATGTATGTATGTATGTATGTATGTATGTATGTATGTATGTATGTGTATGTATGTATGTATGTATGTATGTATGTATGTATGTATGTATGTATGTATGTATGTATGTATGTATGTATGTATGTATGTATGTATGTATGTATGTATGTATGTATGTATGTATGTATGAGATAGTTTGTGCGTGCGTGTGCATGACAGAGAGAAAGGTGCCAGTTTCTTAAAATCTTCGCTGTTTTTCTATTTGGGTGCACAGCAAAAAAGCATCCTTCTATGTGTTTACAGGCTGTAAACTTGTAGAAACGGGTGCTGTAGGATGGGCGGAGGAAAAAAAAAGCCAGCGCGAAATGGCGGGCTCCGGGGGGGAATCGTAAAATATTGGATGTGAAAGGGGGAGCGGAGAAAGGAATCGCGCCTGCACATTTAGTTGTTTATTCAAGCACATTTTAAGGAACATTGCTGTTGTTTCTGTCCGTTTAGCAAGAATACAATTGTCGCAGTGTCGGAATCAAACAAGAAAACAATGACGGCCCAAATACGGCGCTGCGGAAAACCATTTCGCGATGACGAAGACCAAATGGCCCGACGGGTCATTTTGAAGAGATGACACGTCTCGAAGGAATCAATCGAGAAATTGAGGCTGCCGTTAGAAGGCGCTGCAGAAAGAGCTCCAGAGTACTGCATCCTTCCCGTTTTTTAACTTAGTGGTTTCCGGGCCCTTTAGGTTAGGGGTACTAAATACGCAGCTGGCAAACTTGTTCGGTAGTGGCCCAGCGCGCACATGATTTTCTTCGTCCATTACATTTTGTTATCTTATTAATAACTATTTACCTGAGCTGCAAGACATGTCAAGTCTCAAGCGGGTTTTTTTTTTCTTGAAAAGCCCCATACGGCCACCATGCTTTGCAACATAACCATGGAATAAAAGCTCCATATTTCAGAAACAGTGTTCAGATATTCGTAATTCTGGAAATCAGCACTGACCTGTTTCTCGAATCCAGACGGCTAATTCACTTCCCAAATGACCCCTTTGTGAGGTATGTGAAATGCGTTCTTTCGAATACCTACGTTAAGTGACTACTCTCTGTTCCTTTTTCATCCAACCTTCTTTATTGTCACAGTCCTTAAGAGAGACCAAAGTTGCTGACTGAGGCCCCGTAGGCCAGGTTAGTTTTGGTCCACTGCTTTAAACTCTTGACGGAAGGTGTAAAAAATAAAAAAAAGTCACGTTAAGTTGACTTGTGCACAGTGTTAATTTGTGCGTAACCACTGTGTTACTGCAAAAATATAAAACAAAATTATGACCATGCCGGTGAAAATTGGCACACCCATCCATGCAGCGTCCACTTGATGATTGGAGCTTGATTGAGTTGCCATGACACACGCTCATGTGGGGGAAGCTTTGTTCGGTCATTGGCTGGGCGCCGATTACGTAACGTGTCACGCTGCCGAAGTGGGTGAAGTCAAGACGACGGGCTACGCCTTTTCCTCCGTATGGTGGAAGGTGGCGAGGCCACGAAGAAATTCGAAACCATGGCTTAAACAGATGTTCTAACTCCTCTAACTTCCTTATTATAGCACGTATTCACGACATTCTCTCGGAAGCATGGTCACGTAGCAAAAGTGCGCATATTTGTCTTCATTACAAGTTCGCGATCACTATATAATAGCCCAATATAGTCGTGGCTTGAGCACGTGGTATTTGAGGAGTAATTTTTCACGGCGACTTTCGTAACGTGTTGACAAACGTCAATGTCCGGCTCATCGGGGCCCTGTATGAACGCTTAATTTTGTACAGAACATTTACGAAAAAGATGTAAATACTGTTGTTGACTGGCCTACACTAGATAGCGTAGGCATGAGCGCGCCACGTTTCAATGGTAAAGAAAAGAGCTCTCATGGTGCAGCACTTTACATACGCTACAGAAACGAGCTCTGTTACCTCCTAACGATGCCATCTATCCGTATAGTGAAATCGCTTTGTCTATTTGACTAAACCGAAAGCATGTACATGAGACAACAGAGATCAGTGCAACGCCCCTGCCCAGAACATTGCTGCAGTGTGTCTGCCAAGCACGGGCAGCATGCACAGAGGATGGGAGAGCAGGCTTTCGCGAACATCGAGAAGCCTCTGGGCAAGCTTGCCAACTTATCAACTACAGAAAGCACGTTGAGGGCATAGTTGGTGATGCATTCCTACTTTAAAATATCACAGCGCTACATGCAATGTGAAAAATGTAGGGAAGAACATAGCGAGGCAGCGCCCTCTCTAGCTGTCATGTGTTTCTCCATCTTTTCCTGGCCAAAAATGTACCGCCGTAATATTTTGGGTAAGTATAGACGTGGTCGAATTGCATCATGTTTTCGCGTTCTGTAATGGCTACATCTTAAACAAATCAGACTGGCCGCAGCAGCCATATGGGCCAATAAGGACTGGTCGAGATGGCGGCATTCGACAGTGTGCATAACGGTATACACCCATGCTTATGAGAACGAAGGGTTCGATAGTGAGCAACAAGCAAACAAGCGGACTGCGTTCATTCATGTCGAGAAAGATATTGGCACCAGCTGTAATTGGCAATGCGTATGCACCAGTGAATGCGTCATGCAAATTGCATTGTTGGGGAAGGTAGCAAAACATGCAAGCTTAGGCCTACTGTTTCATAATTACAAATAATAATTATCACTAATAGAGCAAAGGACAAAAAAAGAAAAAAAATTATTGACTGCACACGAACGTAACAATTTTGAAACCGAACGTTTTCATTCACTTTTACACAAAAGTTCGAACCTTCTGCCTTTCATCTTATTGTTTTCATTAGTAGCGGCTTTTTTTTGCCAGCTGTCTGATATAGACGATAAAAACGCATAATAATCGGTAACTATCATCCCACAAATAATCCTTATTGAAGAAATCAGCCTTAGCCTTTAAAAACAAGTGAACCAAATAGCATGAATGAAAACAAATTGCGCCTGACCATAAAAATCGCCTGTAATATTACCACTACACTTTAATAAACAAAACAAAATAACAGTCCTTTGACACTTTATTGTGAATTTTATCTAGCCACGTATACGACAATGTATAAAGAAACATATGAGAGGCAAAACGCAGCAGCAGAAAGCTCAAGGCCGGGTTGGTTGGCGAATCATGGGAGAGGCCTTTGCCCTGCAGTGGGCGTAGTCAGGCTCATGATGATATAGAAACAAGTGAACCCTCTTTAGGGGTCATTTTACTCAGAGGAGATTTCATTAGCGGAGGCAATGTTGGATGCCGTCTAAATGGCGATACATGCACAGGGCGCATTCGAACAGGCGTACAGCGCATGCGCACTCACCGTCATGTCGCCGTAGACTGGAGTCCACACGATGGGATGTCTTCGGGACAATACTATGGGGCGACTCATGACGGGCACGTATTTCTGGAAGACGAAACGATAATTTCAGATGAATCCGTTTATGTTGAGCGTCTATAACTCGATAGCATTAGATGTGATTGAGGCACAAACTGTGAAAATGCTTTTGGGTAACGCATCAAAGGGTTTTAGCTTTTTCAGCTGGGCTTTAAGTGACCTTGAGCCTAATGACAGCGCTGTTATTCAGGAGCTACAAACGAGACATCGCGTGGTGCACAACGAGAATATACGGGAATTGAGACGAGATCATCCGGGTATCGAGGCGATCCATCCGGGAAAACAGCCCAAAAAGTAACAAAATAAATGCGGTATTGGGCAGTCATCACATTTTGCTAGACCGCATTACACATCCTTGCTTACGGTTTAAACGAAATACAAAATGTATTAAGGCGATATCTCAGGATGCCTATCCAACACGACATTGACTGTGAACGTCGGCGTCCTGCAGTTTCGGGAACGAATAGTGGGAAAAAAAATGACGTTACGATGTCGTCATCGCATAGTGGCGTCACAGATTGCTGAAATTCTTCAATCCATTATGACGCCACCATGGCGTCACTGTGACATTACGTGACGCAGCGTCACATAAAGAAGTCATCAGATGGCATCGCAACTTAGTCAAAGGCAGTCCGATCACGGAGGCAATGCAAAACAAGGTGAGATGCCTCCGATTTCGGAAGCAGTGCGCAACCCAGTTAGGTGCATAAAGTGTTCGAAGACTACCGGAGCAAAATGGAGTACATTGACTGAAAGAGGAAACTGGGTTTCATCTTCCAGTCGTCCTAAAGGTGAACTCCAGCAATTTTTCGGTATTCAACGATTTCTATAAAACATTTGACATATGTTCTCGGCTTCTCGTCTCTACCGTGGTGATATGTGTCAAATTATACAATTGTAAGTCTTACTTTTTTAGAAAGCAAATAAAAACTGGTAGCCAATTCTGGAATCACACTTGTAAATGAGGGCCACCCTGTGCGTGTGACGTGTCTACTCTTTCCCCAAAGCCCCCGCCTATCCAAATAGACGGATGCGACGCGCGCCTTCTTCAACGAGACGACGATGACTTGAGCACAATTCACTTTTGTCAGCTGCATATCGTGTTAAGTCTTAATTGACATCGGCTGTTACACTAAGCATGCACAATATTGAGCAATAAGTACATCGATGCTGGGCACGTCAGATGTTTCACGCGCCGGTGGGTGAAAATCCAAAAGTAAGGCTTCCGCGCTCAGATAGCAGCTGCAATCATCGCTGAACTTCACACTGGTTAGTTGCCGAGTTGGCACAGCTTAATTCCGCGTCGGATAACAACAGCAACTTGCTTTCCGCGTGATAGAAGAAGCCCGTGAGCTATATAGGTTCACACCCTGGCCGCCGAGGTGGCGTGCCGTGACGTCAGAGTAAACCTTGACCGGAGCAGCCACCCGTTTCAGTTTCTGTTTCGACTCGTTGTTTTTGCATATTTAAAACTACTGACGAGTCTCTCGGCAAACAGAGAGAAGAAAGAAATATCAGAAAGGTAGGGAGGTTAACTAGACTAAGTCCAGTTTGCTACCCTACACGGGGTAGAGGGGAATGAGGGAGGAAAAGATAGAGAGGAGGAAGAGATACACAGATAAACCATTCTAGGTATTACAGAACTGTTAATGCTATTTCAAAACGGCATTACCTCAATATGGCCGAAAATGCCCCAGAGTTTCTATTTAAGTAAATGCATAAAGACCCGGAGAGATGTTTTTTTTTTTATGCGAAATGATGTTATGTTCAGAGCAGTGTCCGTTCTGTCATAGAGTTTCCCAAAATTTACTAGAGGGCACTCTGGCGCTGCGATCATTCAGCGACCATGGGAATTATGGGTAGTACACACATTTGCCTAGTATTCGTACTTGTGGGTGGCGAATCGTACTTGCGGCTTCGTTTATTGCTGGTTATGGTTTTATTTTGAAAGAAAGAACGAAGCCTTTTGAACTTAGTGACTTGATTCGAAATGGTAAGCCTAAAGGAATATGGTCGGGAAGCGCAAACGGTGACCGTTTTATAATTTATGTTTTGGTGAAAAAGCAGCTCCAAGCCACACGAATACACACGGAGCCAGAAGCAGGCCAGAAGTACGAAAATTAGACAAATGTGTGTACTACCCATCATTCCCATGCTCGCTGAAGCGCCGTGTGTTGCAGCTCCCGTAGACACTAGCGCCAGAGTTCCCTCTAGTGTATATTAAGAAACTCTATGCGTTCTGTGGCGTCCACACCTATACTGCGCATGCGCCAACTCTCTCCCTCTCCTGGCGTGAGTGGGAGAAGGTGAGAGGAGGTGCGTTGGAGGAGGTTACGTGAGCGCTGCCTCCGTTTCGTTTCTCCTCTTCTGTTTCTCCCTGTTCGCCACAGCTGTGCGCTCGTATATAATGTGGCGCACTCTCCCTCCCGTTGAACTGTCCTTCGCAATGGCGCTATGGACGCTCGTGAAGCTGAACGTAAACGGCAACGCCGGCACGCGAATCTCGAAGCTGCAAGGCTGCGAAAGCACGCGTTCGCTGTGCTTCTGCCATTGTCTTGTGCAACTGTGTGCAAAACGCCATGAACAACGTCAACGTCGGCGCTAGTAGCACCGACAGCGCCACCGACGTGGAACAGAGGATTTAAGATTTTCAGATCCTTTATTGGTACGAATACAAGAATGTGACATGTGTTTAGTATACAAAAGGAGGTCCCAAAGTGAAAGACTGCCGCGGGACCTTTTTTTCGGAGGTCCCGATACAGGTCCCAATAAATGGAGGTCTCTTCCTCGGGACCTCCATTTCGGAGGTCCCGAGCAAGGCTCGGGAAGCCAAGCGTGAACGTCAGCTTTGGCAGGCGGTAATTGAAACGCCTCGACAACCACCGTCTCATAAGTCGCACAAGAGACACGAAAATTCGAAGCCCCCCCCCCCCCCCCCCCCCTGCAATGCTTTCATATTCCACCATGGTTGCCCGTAAAGGGAGATGGTATGTCGTTTCTTCTGCCATCGTTTGAAGTTACTCTTATGTAAAATACTACGAAAGTTATTAGAGGCACGTCATAGTGAGGCTTCCGAAGTTTAGACAAGCTGGGGTTATTTAACATGCAACTAAAGCTAAGTAAACGGGCCTTTAGAATTTGGGCCCCCGTCGAAATGCGTTAACCACGGCGGGGATCGAACCCGCGTCTTTCGGGTCAGAAGCCGAGAACCATCCCCACTGTACCTATGTTACAGCATTTGGAGTTGCCTTGTCGTGCGACGCGGTAGTTATTACTGAATGCGAATGCAAATCCGCGAATGGTAACGTTCGATGCAAATCAAGCGTACTTGAACACCTTTAGGTATATAGAAGTAGCGTGTCAATCAAACCCCCTTGCCTGAAGGTCAGTATTCTGTCTGAAGTTTATTTACACACCGAAAAAGGAGATTTTACATTGACGGAATTCATGCGCGCTATTTGAGGGCAGTTAGAGGCTATTCCCGAGCGCCAAGACATTTGGGCAGACCTTCTGGCACTTTTTTGTGGAGAATAAAAAGAGGCCCACGGGATGGCTTCTGGCTCTCCAATAGTAGAGTCCAAATACTCTAAATCGTAAACAACTCTTTCAAATGGTAAATAGCAATTTCTCTAAATCGTAAACAAATTTTTCTAAATACGTTTTACGTGGACAAACTTCACGTCTTTACTTCCCTTTCGTCTTTACTTTGGAACATAGGCTTTCAGCGTGTCTGATATTGTGGTACGCTTAAGCGCTTTGGCCTACTTTGGAACATAGGCTTTCAGCGTGTCTGATATTGTGGTACGCTTAAGCGCTTTAGCCGAGTATAATGGTAACAACAAGTTAGCGGACGCTCGCTGCGACATCTTTCAACGCCTAGTTTAAGCACATTCACAAACACGTTCTATTGCTTTCGAATTGGATTCTTGCCGTAAAAGCTACGGTAAAGGGGCATGTTGTTCAACGTTAAGGTACTAACGAAAGCTTGCACAGGCCACGAGGTGTGACAAGCGTTGCTTTGTGCTCGTCTGGTTTAGCTGTTCACCCCCAGATGGTGAGGACCACTTCGTCCGCCTATGTTTACGAGCCTGAAAAGACGGCATTCCTCCGAAGTGTTCGCGCAGACCCGAATTATAGAGATGCTAAAATCCGCAATTTTTTTTTTTCAGAGCTAGGGCAAGGTATGGGGCCTACGTGTGTCAAGAGACTGACAAAATAACACGCTGAATATGAAAAAAAAAGACTCCCAGGCTGCCTTAGGTATTGGCCTAAGACAGCTCGAAGTCAAAAGCCAGTTTCTTGTTGTCGGTCAATGTACTTATCTTCACCCACCCTCCCATACTGACGGAACGATTACAACTCCATTTATGGCAATGTGCGAGGTCATCACGTATTTATAATTTTTGAATCAGTCATGTGGACGCCAACGCCGCGGCACATCGATGGTCATTTTTCTCGTTTGATGGAGCAACCAAGGAATTCGGTCTGTGTCGTCGCAGCGGTCACAAGTCCAATATCAATTCAGCGTAATCAAACACAGCTAGAAGTGCCCGTTAATTCGCAATAAAGTTCATCGAAAGGAATTTATAAAAGTGGTTAATAGTGCCCTAAACCACCTCCGATAATTTTTTTTTACCACTTGAAGTATACGCTCTCATGTAGTTGAGATTGCCGGTACGATGAAGAATGCCAAACACCGCAGCACGACGAGTCGTAGGCACGACGCACATTACAGGAAGCAACCCTTTTTCTTCTCCAGGCTCTTTCGGGATCTTCTGCGTTGACAGTGACGTGCACCGTTGTGTCTCATCGTGTTCATCCACAAAAACAACCTGTTTGTAAGCTCGCAGCTACGCGTTCTCGCCGCTTATCCTCCTCGCGCGGTGAAGGGGAGCCAGGAGAAGAGTCAATCTGACGAACGGAGCGTAGCGAAGGAAACAGCGGAATGGACCAGGGCAATGTCTTAGAATATCAAATAACTCTGCTATTATGGCGCCATTTCTAAACATTCTCGCTGCTGCGAGTTTTTTTTTTGAAGATTCAGGCAGAACAGCAAACACACAACTAAATTTTGGCCTCGGGAAGATTCGAAGGCCTTCTAAGAGGGATTGAGCATCAGATCGCGTCGGTCAGTGCACCTCGAAAGCAGAAAAAGGTGTTATATGAGCGAGATTTCGCTTACGCGGTGAATTATTACAAAGCTTCAGCGGCGGAATTGCCGGCTGTAGTCGGGAGACAGCGTGGCGCAATACAAAACGAACATGCTTTTAGGTTTAAGTGACGTCACTTGAGCGTCACACTGCCGGCAAGTATAGCCCTGCTGAAGAAAACGCAACATTGAAAGATGTTTGCAAGCCGATGGCAGCTCACCAGTACTTGCTCTCGAACTTCCGCTAGCGTCGTCACGTGAGTATAGTAACCTGGAAAGACAGACAAAGAGAGGGGGGAAGGGGGAAGAAATAAAATAAGTGAGAGTCTGTGCGAAACACAGAAGAGCACAAGAAGAAGCAAGCCTCGAGGGACACAAGCTGATAACAGTTTCAGGGTGTGCTTGATTGGGCAAGTTGGTGCTGCATAGTAGACGAAGTTAAATAGGACGGCACTAAAGACAGGAGGAGAAAAAAGATGCCGTGTTACTGCCGTATAGGTATCTTCTTGCCGTCCCGTTTTTGGCACTGTTATTTTTTCAATTTTTTGTCTACTAAACAGCTTCAGAGTCCGGTGCATCTGAATCAGACCCTGCTCATAATCTGCAATCGCACTTCGCCGCACTGCATATTCGGCAAACTAATGCCGGCACCTACCGCGTTTCAAATGAATACGAGGTGCAACTGTCTAGCCATTTTAAAAGACAGGGTGGGCAAGTATTGCCTAGCGCGCAGGGCCTTAGACTTGCCGCATTCTATAGACTAAACAGGTCACAGGCGGTTACATTACACGTTTTCTGCAGACGCGGACCTACTCTAACCCGGTCGTCATGAATAAGATTAGCCTGATCCGGGCTGTAAAATTTCGGCCTGCTACAATAAGTGTGGATATTCACTCGATTTTGAGCATATGCTCCGGCACTGCTCGGTGTTGGCGAGGGATGCTTCTCAAATTGAACGGTGGGGGCAGTGCATGCTCCACGGTGACGTTCATCGCGAGGCCTGTTTATCGCGCAAGTACATACCGATGGACGGTCACAAAAAGGAAAAAAAAAAAACGCGTTTGATGATTGAGGCATGGCTCATCTATTGTAGAGGTAGGCCATGCATGAGTCAACCATGGATTAACCATCATAACGAAGTAATCAAATGTCTTAAGAGTTATATTTCACGTAGACCCTCACGCGTGCCCTATACGGATATATGGGTGCGCCCACGGCCTGAAAATGCGCAGATTAACGTTCGTGCCTTTCTTTTTCCTCGCCGTTTTGCGCCTTTGCCGTTGTTAGCCGGCATCCGTAGTGTGGTACGATATGAACAACTTCATTGCGGGTTCTCAGGACCAGTCCGAGACTGATACTGGCCGCTCTCGTGGCGCCCTCTGGACGACACCGTATTCCTCGACTACGACGAGCGACCAAGCAGCGGAGCTGGCATTCTCGAAGCTTAACGGCTGGAGCGACGCACTATGGCGCTACCTCCCTCAAAACAAAACAGAGCACGATCGAAAAACTGGCGCCGTCGTCAGACAAACACGTGCCCCAGACTACACAGACTTTTTAACACACAACCTTCTGCATATCAGGATGAGTGCCCCTGGTGCGGAGGTTACCCACACTTTCTCACATTGCATACAGCTGTCCCTCGCGCCCTCTTGCGGCGAACTCGACGCTCATACAATCGCACACGTTACCACACTAGTTGTGAGAGGCGCGATTCGAGGATCATGCCTCGGGAAGCCAGTTGGCAACCCTGGACTTGGCCCCGTGAGCCGCTATAGCCAGTGTAGCTCTGGACGAAGGGCCCCACCCACTGTACTTACTGACAGTACTAATAAACCCTTATTATCTCTCTCATTCTTGTGACTGTACCAAACTGCGCATTCTACATGACGACGTTCAGTTTCACTTCTACAAAATTGTACAAAACTGCGTAGTTTTTTTTATAACGTGTAGTTATGGGCTAGCTCGGCTTTATACTATTTCTGCTATTCCTGCCTTGTATAATACGCGTGCTTATGTCAAGATTAGGGTGACTACGTATTCCATGTCATGGCGCAAGCAAACTGCACTTGAACGCGCAATTTTCAGAGGAGACAAGCTGCCATTACTTTGGCTAACTTCACCGCAGAAAAGCTAGATTTACAGTTACAAAGAGGTTCTGTTGTTATGCCACGCATAACTTCTACGAAAAGTTGCAAGGAGCTTATCTAAGTTATTCGGCCTGAACTTGCAGTGCCCTTCAAGCCGTAGGAGTTGCAATTTGGTCCAGCAACGCGCGCATCGTGTAAATGAATGACTTCAACACAACGAGGAAACATTGTCGACGTCATGAAGGTTGTGGAACCCTGCGCCGGCTCCATATTGGTGGTATTTGAAGCATTATTTGGCTTATGTACACTCACGCTAAATCCAGCGCACGTAGCTTCTTAAAAGGTTCAGAGAACTGCATAGACGTACTTTTGACGAGCGCGTCTTGTCGTGGGGGGGTCGGCTGAGGTGCCGATTGACGGCGAAAACAAGTGGAGGCACCTGCACGCTTCGTTCAGTTGATAGAGTTTGCTAAAATTAACTAGAGGAAACTGTGGTGCCGGGATTGTTTCGCCACCGTGGGAATGATAGGTAGTACATAAACTTGCCTATAGTATCCACGCTTGCAGGCTTCGAATAAACTTGTGGCTTCGTTTATTGCTATTTTACGGTTACTTGCCTAATAAAAGAGCATATCTTCGTGAGTTTCATGGCCCGATCTGAATTAGTGAGCACAATAACGTCAAGGTGGTAAAGTGCAACTGATACCCATCTGCTGATATTCGTTTTGTGACAAAGCGCCTCAAAGCCACGTGAAGCCAAACGGAGCCAAAAGTACGAATATAGGACAAATTGTATCATCATCATCATCATCATCATCATCATCATCATCATCATCATCATCATCAGCGTCATCATGAGCCTGACTACGTCCACTGCAGGACAAAGGCCTCTCCCATGTTCCGCCAGTTGACGTATGCAGTTGAAAATTTGTATACTACCCATCATTCCCATGCTTGCTGAAGCACCGTGCCTTGCAGCTCCCATAGGCACTAGCGCCAGAGTTCCCAACAGTGTATTTATAAGAGACTACACTATTACAAAAATAGTGCTACTTACTGACTTTTGAGGTAGTAAAGTGCTGTCACAACATTAAGTACACACCTAAACTGCAGCTGGTAGGCCCATACACTTACTACTTTGGAAGCTTTCTGAGGTATTTATTGTCTGTGGTCCACTACCTGCATTACTACTTAGGTACCGAATGTTGTTAGTAAGTAGCACTACCGTTTTAAGAGTGTATGGTTTATCGACATCTCAAAGGAAGAGACATTTGTTGTACGTTTCGCCTCTTCCACAATCGTTGTGCGCACGCGCACTGAAGTTCCCTCAACGCACTTTCCGCGTAAACCGCGTATGTGTCAATCGATAGCACACGCAGGCTTTCCGCAGCGGAATGCGAACGCTCAGCTAAGACTCGCAGCGCCTAATTGCGTTCCTGAGAGGTGCCTTTGTTTAGGGCTTCGGAAACTTAGATAACCATGGGTTATTTTACGCGCACCTAATCTACCTTATCCACGGGCCTCAAGCCTTTCACGTCTCACTATATGCGCTGACTACGGCGGGAATCGAACCAGTGTCCTCTGGAAGAATAGGAACAATAAAGGTGGTTGTAAGTCATAATTGCTTAGTTTGGTGCCAATCCCGATTTCCACAGCTCGCTACGTATAAAGTAAATAAATAAATAAATAAAAAATAAATAAATAAATAAGTAAATAAATAAATAAATAAATAAATCTGCTTAGGCGTTTGTACAGCGAATAGAAGTTCACTTCCTGCGCAGAGGAAAACACTGCGCCATTGATCCTCTCAAATTGAGCATCTTATGCAACCAAAATCCTCTTATTGCTTTCCTATCTTCCATTACGCCTTATTTATACATGCTTAGTTCCTGGTCCCTTCATTCCGTCTTATAAATATATTATACTGCTACTTAATTTTCAAGAGGCAGAAAAAGCCGCGTCGAGGCAGTCTCTGTTTTCCTTGGCAGCTTACTAATCTCTTTAAAAAATATATGCCTTTTTTTTTCTTCTTCGTTCCAGCAACTACCCGAGCATAAACTATGACCCGGCACGATGTCCCACGCGCCCCAACATATACAGGAAAGAATAATCTCCCCGTCTCCCGGTTATTATGTATCGGGTTCCGCGCAGTGATTATTTTCTTTTCAGTCTTTCGTAACGGCGTACAAACTCGCGCACTCCGAGCAATCTCATCTGCCCAGCTTAAAAGGCATTACGACAAGAATCGTATTATCTAAGCCCGAAAAAAGGCAGCTTGCATATGCCAGACACTCTCGAACTAATCCGAGATTCAATTTCCCTCTACATCTCGAGAGAAATCTCGACAGAAGGTCAAAAGGTAAATTTTTACATTCCGGCTCATTATATCGCGTGATCGGTATGGTACGAACTTATGGAAAAGACCATGAAGAAGAATTAGAGCGTGGGTAGTTTCTGTTACGGCACGTGGAACAAAAGAAACCAAGCACACGTGTCCTGAAAAGACGCGCATGAACATAGGTGTCGTAAGGTTATCCGTTCGGGGGTGACCACCAATGTTCACCACATCTTGTTCCATGAAAAAAAAAACAAGAATACTTCAACCCTTTTTGTAGAAGCATGGCTTGGAGAGTAGGTGAGTTTTTTTTAACGAGGCACGTCAACTCTTTTCGCGGAGTCATTGTACTCGCTCAGGAGAGTTGTGAGACCGACGAGAAAGTCAACGTGCGTCTTTAAATGGGACCAGAAACACTTATCCAGATTGTCATGAAATGGATTCACTAAAAGAGCTTAGTGCCTCACGAATTCACAGCTGCCAAAAAAATCACAGCATATCTACGGAGTCAAGGATGATGAGTAGAACGAAGCTTCGGAGGGTTTTATCGGCAAACCGGGAATCATTCGCTGACCACGTGCGTCCGTCGTCTGTCTGTCTGTTTGACGGACGGATGGACAGACGCATGGACGAACGCAGGGACGGACGCAGGGACGGACGCACGAGAGGACGGACGGACGGACGGACGCATGAACGAACGCAGGGACGGACGCAGGAACAGACACACGAGAGGACGGACGGACGGAGGCATGGACGAATGCACGAGAGGACGGACGGATGGATGCACGGATGGACGAACGCAGGGACGCACGGACGGACAGATGGATGCACAGATGGACGAACGAGAGGACGGATTGATGGATGGATGTATGGGCGCACGTACGAATGAACGGATGGACCCATGGGTGGACGGACGGATGCAAGGATGGACGGAAGCAAGAACGAACGGACGGAAGCGCGGACGGACTGATGGATGCTTCGCCCCATTCCTCATCATTCACTCCATCCATATGCTGTGATCTTTATTATTTTTCATACTACAGGCAACGTCCTCTAGTATCGTACCATTTGCATTTTTCAGCGTATATGCATTTCGTTATATGTACAAGTACCACCATCTACGGCAGACTCAAGAACTAACGAGTGGTGGCTACACACGATTACGACGGGTCGCTCAGCCCACGCCTTAAGGAGCTTCGCCCCTAAAAGAAATTCAGAACCCGTTCAGCGCGAGCGGAGTTACAAAAATTTGGCACACGCTGTAATTGCATTACTCTCTCGTCCCGAGGAAAGTGTTGTAAACTAAGCTGGAAGAGATGGCACGGGGAAAGAAAATACGTCACGCGCGTCTTGTGACCTTAAGCCTCTCTTTCTCTCTCTTTCCCTTCACATTGGCGGCTTTTCAGTGCGATTGCACACGCACGCGTGGACACGTCACGGCCTCCCGCGGCGGCCCCAGTAACGACCGAATGCGCCATGCTCAAATCAGCCAATGGCTGGTACACAGTGGCTGTGCCAAGTGCTTTCTGAGCTTGTATTGCTATTTGTCGAGGGAAGAGAGAGTAGTTCTTAGCTGACTGAGAATTTACCGTGAATTCCTGGCCGCGTCCCGCGCTACAATACTTGGCTTGCATATTCTCGGGAACATCGACTGCCGATCAGCAGCGTTTTCGGATAATGCTCACAGAGTGTTGCAGGGGGAGAGTAATACGCTTGGCCAGTCAGGACTCTCTGAAAAAAGTCACACGTACTCCTCTTCGTAGCAACGCACCCCCCCCCCCCCCACACGGCTCTTTAACTCGCGTATTGTGGTCGAGCCTGAAGAAAAAGAACAAAAATGAACGAAAATGAACGAAAAACAAAAAAAAAGAAGTGATGACGTCTATCGAAGGAACGCCAGCCATTGGCCCTCGACTTTCAGGGAGTAATGATTGGAAGTATTCGTGTTACGGTGTTTGAGAGTCATTGGTCGTCAATGTCGCCAAAATAACATGTGTAGTCGTAACTCTGCGCGTTAATAAATGGCGTGCAAGGTCTGAATGAGTAAGGGTACGAAGCAGACGTGGCCACCACCCTTTCGGTAATTAGGCGGAGTGGGAGCGCCCCCCCTCCCCCCACTGCCCCCGCGCGCACGCTGATGTGTACAAATTACAAAAAAGTCAAATATCGAATCTGCTATTGTGAATACGAATATATTAATAATAGGTTGCGAATATTTCGCTATGCTAACGTCACTCGAGGAAACGTGAAATTGCTGCAAGGGCTCTTTCTTACCGGCATAGTATAGGAGTATAAATACGGGTGCTTAAACAACAGCAGGCCGTAACAGGTACAATACAATGTTTTGGGGCTGTATTTAGCAGTGCGTCATTTTTTTTAGTTGAAACGGTTCGGAACAATGTGTGTTTATAAAAAAAATGGGGGACGATTTAGACTATTAGGTACTCTACTGTGGGAGAGTGCAAAGCCGTCCCGTGACGAGCAGAAATCAATGGCCAGACAGCCTGCACAAGCCAAGGATCCCGAATAAGAAAATGATTCCAAATGTGATGAAAAACAATAGACAATATAAAACAACAAAACAATAGAAACAATAAAAAACAACAAAATAAAAAAAAGTGATGAAAAACAATAGAAACAAATTTCAGGAGGTATGCGGTAATCATGAGCGCGATTACCCCACCGAGTTTTCCTTTGGTTTTCAGATAATTTAGCAAGCTCACATGGCAACTAGCATTAACTGACGGTATCGCATATGTTGATATTATAATTGCATCAAGTTTTCTTTACAGAGGCGTGCTTTAATGACACCAGTTACGGTTTAAATGAATGGCGCTTTTGTTTCGTTTTCTTGCGGTTCATGAAATGGTGAAATGACAAATGGCAAACATTGACGGAAGTGAGGGACATGTGGAGGCTTAAAGTGATGAGAGGTCAACGGGTAGGGAGCGTCACTATAGCATCGGCGTTTCGGCAAGGAAACCTGTCTTCTTGAGAGAAGCAGCTAAAAAAAAAGTTTCCTAGTTCAAAGACTTCACGTGACCTGACTGTCCAAAAAATTAGAGAACCCTAAACATTTGCCTTTAGGAGTTGAACGCAATAGCGACATCCTGTTCCTATAGTGCGTACTTCAAGCACTTAATGCATGAAACCTTTTCGAATTTGCTATGCACCCACTACGTGGCATAAAGGGAATAGGCTCAGTAGCGTGTGTGTCTATTGTAGTGGGGTACGGGCTTTCAACCATAGAGCGATTATGATAATCACACATTCTGACGCCGTTTGGCAATGAACACTTGTACAACGCATTATTACTGCAACATTTCGGGGTGCATTGTGAAGCATATATTTAGGATTCATGTGTTTGTGAAGCATGAAAGCTACTTTCACTGAATTTCGAAGCAGAGGAAGTTATCTTCGCTGTTCTCACAAACAGAGGCGTGGCCTTCCGGTAGAACATCCATTTGTCACGCAAACGACCCGAATTTGATCCCCACTTGGACCGAAACAAAACCTGGTTTGGTCCCCACTCTGCTCCAATGCATTATATTATTTGCATCGTTTTCAATTTTTTGGTCACACACAAGATGATTTTTCGCTCACAACCAACGACGCCGACGTCGACACCGGAATTTCTGTGAAACGAGCTCTCTAACGCTGTCGCGTAAGAACTAATGAAAACCAACAGACAATGAAACTATAAGGTAAGTATAACATACATTACTTGCATGTTTTTAACCACAAGACGGTAATTATGACATAATTAGAAATGAATGTACTTATGACATAATCAGAAATGAATTCAACGGGATGACGAATCAAGTTGCCGTAAAGAGGAACCGAACCTACAACCTGCACCTTCCTTAGCCAGTACCGACCCCTGTACCCTCCTTAGCGTCATTGCCTGTCGGTTTCATTGGAGTTGCGTGTAACAGCAGAAACGAACGCTCGAACAATAAATCTTGCCTCTTTCGTTCTTAGAGTCTAAAAGTTTTACATACGATGTTTGAAAGCATTTCACCTTACTCGGTCGGTCCACATCTGCAAAACACGCGGTGTTTTAACACCGAAGTTGTGGGTCAGTCGACCCTTTGCCGTTGCTGTTACGCAACTCGGCTAAAGGAACGTGCCGGTGTTGATAAGGCGGTGGGAGCAGGCGACCAATGAGAGGCCGCGCTGGGTGCGAGGGATGGCAGAGGCAAGGCGGTCCGCTATCGGTGTAAGGCCGCGTTCACACTGAGCATTCCGGCCGCCGAAAGTGCTCCGAATCCGGTTCGGCGGCGGCGAGATCCGCCGAAAGGGCCCTCTCCGCGCCGATCACTTTCGGACCAATTTTTGCGGCGTCTGCCGCCGAATCGGTCACCGCGGAACAATAGGAGCGCTAGTCAAGGAATTTAGAAAAATGTCGGCCAAGCCCTACTCACTTGCTATGCCGCAGTGCACGTAACTGAATGTTGAAACCAATGAAAGTTTAACCTACTCTTCGCGTCCGTATTTCATGAGAGAGGTGACCGAGCTTGCTGTTGGCACGACCGAGCTTGTTGCGGTCTTGCAGAGCAAAACGAACCCACCAACGCCGCTGGCGTCAGTGGTTTTTCTGCTCTTCGTGCATTACAAGACAGCCACTGGCCAGCAAAGTAAGCAGTACTGTCTTTTCTTGCGTACGAGAATCGTCGAAGTATACACCACCGCATAGCGTAGTAGCGTTTGCGAGCCGCGACAACAACCGGGTGACAGCGCATCCATCCCGCGTTCGCCCCGTAGTAGATGGCATATTCGGTGGCGCGGGGCGCGTCCAGTGCGAACGACGCTGCGTTTCGGCGGCAGGGGAATTTCGGTCGCTGTAGAAAGCGGATGTTTCAGTGTGAACTAGGCATTAGAGCGGGAATTCATCATCGATGTTTGCCGCGCTCTGTCCGATGAAGACAGGGAAGTTTATTGCAAACTGGTAACAACACTTCAGGTGAGTACAACTGTCTGGTGTAACAAAATCACTTCAGTGGCATGTACAAACAAGAGAACATAAACAGGACGTAACACACAGCACTTCCAATATTCTCACAGATCACGAATCACTCAAGGAAACGAAGAGAAAAGTGTTTTAAAGAACTAGTATCGTTTACGGTAGGTTTTTTTATAGGAGGCTCCCTTCACCGTTTACCTCCCTAAAACCTTTTAATAAACCACTTTATTTTACCTCAGTTAGCACTTCCAAACCAACGTCCGTAAATTAACCACAAACGTCTTAAGATGGGCAACAGCGCCAACGCGCGAACAGCGATTGATCGGTGAACAGCGTTCCTCGCAAAAAAAAAGAAAAGGAAAAGATGAAAATTAAGTTAATAAAACATGCCGATGTAGAAATTCGAAGCCAAGCGTACCTCTGTTGGCGCAGGCCATCCAATTGACTTCCCTGGTGTCGGTCACCTCTCGACCGATGAGATAGGTGAACACGCGCACCTGAGTAAAAAAAGAGAGAGCCACCGAGTGTGTATTACCAGTCAGGGCCAACGGGTACGGGGACATGCAAGCAATTAATAATACAATTAGTAAACAAATTATAGAATAACACTGTAGCGAACACCCAAAATCAGGTACACAGCAATCAAGAGGGAGAAAAAAGAACAAAAAAGAGAGAATGAGAAGAGTATCGTTACATTCGAAAGTTCAAAGGAACACCCTTGTTATTGCCAAAGTGCTACAGAGTTTGCTCTATGACCTTGAACTATTGGAGTCTGGCCATCGAACGGAAAATCCATGTGCCAAATGTAAGAGTATACAGGGACGTCCGACTCACCGGGATGTTTGGCCAGTTGTAGTGCCTGAAGATCTCCTCGTAGGTGTAGGGGGCGCCATCCGTGACGAGCATGATGGCTTGGTTGCACTGACTGCCAAGCCGAGACTTGTTGTACTGTGCGAAACACAACCGACACAGAGTATGTACATCAACAGAGAGCGAAAGAGGAAGAGTCGGCGGGTGCAAATTAGTGATCGTAGAACTCAGAGGGTGGATGTTCTCTGTATTTAACATTTTTAGCGCTTCGCTGTGGTGACAGTCAATTCCAGTTCGTATAGTGCCAAGGTGCCTACTATGTACTGCAACATATATTGACGCATGCGTTCAGTGAATAAAAATGGGCCAAAAAGGCAAGAGAGAGAGAGAGAGAAAGAGAGAAGTGCATCTTTCTACTTACGTGTTGCAGCATCTCGAATGCCTGCTTGAGGGCTGCGGTGAAGTTTGCGATGTTTTGCGTTTCTAGTTTGCTGAGATTTTCCTTGAATTCCTGCAAAAGCAAGTCGGCAATGTTGACAGCGCTGACGATGAGGACCATGGGTGCAGTGATCTTGCAGAAGTGTTTTTACTCAATCTCGTGAAAATTGGAAATTCTGCACATTTCCCTCATTGGTATATTGTGCGTGTGTATGAAAACGTTAACCACACGAGCAACGGGTGCTGAGTGTCGCAATCGGCTGCCATAGTGATATCGATGGGGCATCGGACAGAGTGAAGGATAACTGTAAGACCGGCATTTCAACCACGATTCCCATACTGCGACGTTACAATGGGTGCTTAACGTGTGGCTTCCTATGCACACGAGGCATATCGTCACGCAGTCGAGTGAAAACAGTTTCTCGTATTGTTTCGTAACCAGAATACTTTGGTTGGAGATTGCTAAGTAAATAATTTACAAGTTTCTTTGCACTGCTTCCCATGAATGATTAAAAATTGTGGACTATAGGATGATGTACAACGCCTTTAAGTTAATGTCATCGTGATTGAGCTGGTTGTGTTTTTCTCATGGTCGGCGCGTATTAAATTCCAGAGCAGGGCGAGATACGCGTCATAGTGCACACAAAAAGCCTCATTAGTGACCTAATTAGTGCATTTCATTTTGATTGTATCTTATTATAGCGTATATCATAGTGCGCACCATAGTACAAGGTCAGCCGCTATTTTAGATGAAGCACCTCATCAATAGTGAATACAATTAAAACCACATTTTGACTTCAAAAAGGAAATGTGTCTTATCTGAAGCCTAATGATGAATGGCGACAAACGAAATTAAGAACCGTTTTCCTAAGTCCACATCGAACATACAGTTGCTCTAACTTTTCGAATACTATAGTGAGCCATCTTCACTAGGCATCTGTCACAAACGAGCGCTCAACAAAGCGCGCGCGCCTCCGAATTCTAACTGCCACGTGAAATCGAGGCGCCCAGCAGACGCGACACAAGTCGGCGTAGAGACGAAACAAGAATCAAAAGACGCCTCACGCATCCCGCCTTCGTCCCATCGAAAGCGCCGTAGCCATGGCGACCAACCTCCCCGGATCTACCCTCAGCGAACTCCAGAAACATCGAGAAAAAATTAGTGAGTGAAGTCCTCATCGCGTCATTGGTTGCGGATAGTTGGAGAAAGGTCCCGCCGTTTCCACAGCTTTGGCTGCGCGGCGCGCCGACGAAATGCCTAGAAATTTAGAGAACCCAGAGGCTAGTACATATAAGCCAGCAGCTGGGGGATTCACAGGAGGGGATGAAGAGGTTTTTCACCTGAAGGTGAAGGCTTGCCTTACAAGCAGGAGAATAGTCTGTGTTTACCGCCAGTGGGCGAAGACGTGTTCGGCAGTCGCAGAGCGTGAGTGGCCGACGTGTTACGGGCGAAGAAGTTTTGTTACTGAAGTGCGCACATTTGACGACGCGAGAGCTTCCTGGAAGAGAAACCTCGCACGCAGCGGTACGAGAACCGGCACTGGACTTTCAGAGAGTGTTTTTTTTTTTTTGAAGAGGAGCATTCAAGCTTCGTTCCGAAAACTTTGGACTGAATACGTTTGACGAACAGTTTAGTCTATAAGTGTCTTGGTTAGTTGATGCATGAGATTGCACTGCAGCGCGTGTTGTATTGAGTGTATCTTTTGTTGTGTAGCCAGTTGTTTTAAATTTATTGGAGCATCTTGTGAGTAGTGTCGTACTGTATTTGACAACTGCCGAGCTTGCATGATTGTGTGTTGATCGCTTTGCCTTATTTGAAAATATATTCTTGTTTTTGTTATCAACTCTCTCCTCTGCGTCGTTCTTTGAACCACAGCCGGCGTGCACTGACACTCTAAAAAATACCAATTGTCTGTACTTTCGTGGTGCGTTTCGGGAGGTCGACACGTCCACCCTAGGAATCAGCCGGCCCATTGGCTCCCTAATTAACGAGACTAGTAACATCATTGCCGAACCTGTACGTTGCAGCGACCTGAAGTGAACAGGATACAAAACTCAGGTACTCTGAGACGAGACGAGGTAATGCGAATTTCCCAATTCCAATTCCATTCCTACGATAGAGGGTGTGATAAGGCATACAGGGTGGAATAGTACTTCATCCTATAGCATACTTGAACGTATGTATATATAATGGGCCCTGCTCTAAGGACGGTCACGTTGCGAGAGGATGACGGGTTCGGCCACCGCTGAGGGACCCGTGGTTAGCCAGTCGATGAACGAGATAGAAGAAATGAACAAAAAAAAAATATACGTACCCTGATGTTCCTGGCGTTGGCCTGGACCAAGTTGTAATGGAAGCAAGTCACAACGGGTTCGATCACGTTGGAGAACTGCAGCCCCGCCGGCAGAGGAAAAATAGCGCATGGACAATAAAGAGAGAGAGAAAAGGGAGACAAAACGATCGTTAGTGGTAGTCCTAAAGAAAAGAGTTGGGGTGTATTTACGGCGTGAAGGAGTACAGAAATGACAGGGGAGCGGGGAAGAGATAATATGACCGGGCATTCGCACACGATTAGAAGTAGTCACGCCAGCGAGTAATTTTACGGGTCTCCGGGAGAAAAGCATCGTTTCGTGAACCGTGCGTACGTGTTTGCGAGTTTCATCTGGCGTACGCTTGTGCGCTTGCGTATCCGCAACGAAGACATCGATACGACAGGAAAAGAACTCCAAGAAAGAGTTTTCTTCTCTCTTGGGATTCTCTGTTTAGAAAAGGTTGTTAACGACTTAGAGTATTTGGTATTCTACTACGGGAGAGCAGAAAGCCGTCCCGTGGGCCTCGTACTCAATCATAAGTTCGAGCGGACACAAAATACGCCGTGAACGTGTTCACGGCGGTGCGAAGTAAACTCTCCCCACGTTTTGGCAATGCAAAGATCTAGAAAATTTGGCTTGTCTCCTGTCTGTACCATAAGTCCGCTACCATGCCAAAGTTTAAGCTCTTGCTGAACGCCCAGCCAGCTTAATCTGGTAGCTGCGTTCTTACTTGTGAACATTGTCGATCAAAAAAGCAAATATTACGTATATCTGAGGCGCAACATCAATACGTAAGCATTAGGTCGCGTGTTCCTTTACTTGAAGATACACAGATACGTAATTCTAAAGAGCTTATTGTTTCTTAGGGTGCGTTCAAAATACGACGCTATGCAAGAAAAAAGGCCGGCAGGATACTATCGTTTTTCGACATTTTTTGACTGGTTTGACAAAGAGCAGACTGACAAGCTCAAGTATTGCGTAGATTTCGTCGCTTAGGAAACAAAACAATTTGACTTAATTGATTGCCACATCAAGTGAATTTCGACGAACCTGACGCTTTAATGAAGCTGGATGGAAGGGTATCGTGTGAGCGCCAGCTGGATGAATAGATGGATGGATGGATTGATATGGCTGTACCCTTTAAATCGAGCAGTGGCTAACACCGCCAAGCCGTAATACTTAGTGAACCAAAAACTAGATTTATCTTTTTTCCCCTTTAAACAGTGAAGTTAAGGACTAGTACTTTGCAGTGAAGGGTTTAATTTTCACTCGTACCTTGACTTTAGCCACCAATCAACTGCGCGTCAACTAGAGCGCCACCTAGCTCTACGAGCAGTATATGACATGAAATGGCGCGTAGATGCCGGGGCATTTTTGCAGACTCACAGAAGAAGATAAAATAAGGGAGTATTCCTTTCGAAGAATACTACACGTTTGTCTCATTGAATCGTGTGTACAGACCGACTTTGAAAACTGTGATAGGCAGGAAATACAAAAGAGAGAGAGAGAGACAAAATCTCTGCACAGTCGTATGTTCGATTTGCCCCGTGCAGCGTCTGCACTTGATTGACGTATCAAGCAAGGGCATCGCCCGCATGCTGAGACACTCGACGTCCGCGGAGAAGAACGCGGCGTACCCTGAGAATGCTGACGTAGTCGTTTTCGGTGAGCGTGTCGAGGATATTGACGATGACGTTTCGCGCGATCTCCTTGCGCAGCCCCATCATGGACCCGCTGCCGTCAAGCAGAATGACCACGTCCTTCGCCGATGCAGCTGCCTGCACGTACCTGCGAAAAAAAAGAAGCGAAATCAAGAAACAACAACAACAACAACAACAACAACAACAAAAACAACAACAACAACAACAACAGACGAACAGCTTCGTGGTGAGATCGTGCTGCTCGGACCTGGTAGCCGAGACATTGGGTCAGAGATGGGAAAGATCCTTTATATTACTAAATTAAGCGTTGAGCCAAACAGCACCCGTCGTGAATGGTATGCAGCCTTCATTTCATTTGTCGGCAGTTAACGCAGACGTAATAGAGAAAATACACCTTCACAGCTCGAGCCTTAGGCTTACAAAGGTTTCTACCCTACGAGAGAGGGGAACAAGTTTCTCACTTCCTTTCCCCCTCACCGGCTGCTAGTGTAACTAGCCTATACTGCCAATGTTAATATAGCTCGGCAAAAATTGGCCCAACAAATAGCTCAATGGTTACAATGTTTGCTGTGTTATTTTTTTTTCGATTTTACAATAACGTAGCGAGTAACACACCTTCTTGCAGATATTCGAGTTTGCGTATCTTATGTCTTTTTTACAGTACTGCTTGTAGGACACTATTATTAATACTATCGTTATATTACTGTTATTGTTCACTTGTCGACCGCAAGTTTTTTAAGTGATAACTTGTGGTGCTAAGTACGAAGTACATTCCTGATATTATTCATCTTTGTGTTTAAAATATTGCTTGGAGCGTGCCACCTTCATAGTGGAAAAGGGCGCAGTATAACGAAGGCAAGAGGACCAAACGTTGCCAGCGCTTAACGGCGCTATTCTCGTTTGGTCTCTCTCGTCTCCGCTGTATTGCGCTTATTCCTGTGAAAGGCCTCCGGCCCCTCTAGTTAAATACGTCTACACTAACAGTGTGAGCACAAAATTTATTAAAAAAAAAACGTTGCTGATCGTATACTTCAATCACCCCGCAGTGTTTACGTCCGCATTAGTCGTTAGCTGTTCATGGCAGGACTAAATGTTTTGGCTCATGCACGCAACGCCTGCTTATAACGATATGCAATAAATTACCTTATTATGATTCATTGCATAATCACCAACAATTGGCGACAGCATAAAAAAAGAGAAAACACTATTTTTCATAAAGAATATTTTGGTTATCGGTTCTTCGCCATTCGTGAAAAATAGATGTGCCTTAAGATCTCGCGCTTGTTACGATACTGACAAGTCTTTGAAATCTCGCGGTGTTAGTAAACGCGTACACATTACAGCACAAAAATAAGATGAGAAATACTTGACTATTTTTAAATAGCTGGACGGTGCCTCACCCAATGATAGCGGCTACTATAGGAGCTAGCGAGATGAAATATATGATGATAACATTTTTTGTTGTACTGTTGCGAGAACTGTTCGTGCGAATGTACAACACCATGAACACATCCTTGCTGAGGAAGTGTGAGGAGGGAAGGAAATAACCAGCGCTGCGCGTGTGTGCTCAATTACTTGCCGTCAATTGCATTCCGCGCTGTACAAATGAATTCGAGATGATCGAAGACCAACCAACCAGCCCGCCAGTCAATTCAGTCGCCTTAGTTCAGAAAACAAAGGTTGCGAGAACGAATTCCGCTTTCGAAGACCGCACTTTCGAATGAAGGCTGAAATTCTAGAAGCCCGTGTGCGGCGATTTAGGAGAAGGTTAAAAAAAAAAACAAAAAAAAAACAGATGGTCGAAATGTATCGAACCCTCCACTACAGAGTCCTTCACTGTCATATCACGGTTTAGAGATGTTAAGTACCAAGAATTATGAGTCCAGGAAATTGTACACCTTGACCATTTCTCTGGTCCGGTAGGTCAAGTTGAGGGGGCAAGTGGTTTTAAAATAGGAGAAAACCAGAGAAAAGTGAGCCCCGCAACTGCCGGTCGCTAAGTGCGACACCTCAGCAGTACCTCACTGGACGAGATAAGAAGAAATTATAAGGGATATAGTGAGGACTGAGAAAAGAAGAAATATTGGATGGTGGTCGAAGGAGGATGGCCCACCGCTCGGCGAGAGCTACACGGCGAGAGGATATCGAGGACGGCGGGCCGATCGGCGAGAGCTACGCTGGCGTTCGAGGTCGCGGAGAACACAACCACTCAGAACGGAATCCACTGAGCGAGTTCATCAAGTTGCCGGACAAGCTTCTAAGCAAGGCTGTTCAATAAATTAGAGGTCACTGCCTTATTCCCCGCTTTGTTGCACGCTGCCACAATCGCTGTAGGTTACGATACGCAGGGCGAATGTTTTTAGATTGATCTAAAGATGTTGGCAAGGCGAAGCAGGTTCCTTGGAAACTCCAGGCGAAAATATTGCTTAGCTCCCCAAATGCGGCCAAGCTAAATCACTTTTCAATGGACACAACTTTAACTATCATTAATTCGTATTATACCTTGCCACTATCTCTGCGTACTCCACCCGCAATGTGCTTTTGATATATGAACTGTACAATGCCTGTCTATACTGTGCTCATTTATGCGTTATAAGCCCTATAGTGTATATATTCACATAGTGCCTCTGATTATTTCTCTTTTATTGTTAATTGTTGGTATTTTTGTGGTTTTCTTGTACATTAGTGTCACGAGTTTGGGATGGCCGGCTCTAACATATGCTACCTTCTGATATTTTGCGAAATATAAATAAATAAATAAATAAATAAATAAAACACTCAACCGTAGAGCATAATCATTGAATCATGGGTAATTAGATAAAGAGCAGCGGCGATGCAATTCCGTTCTGATCAGTCCATAATAGGTTTACGGGTTCTCGCCCACTTTTGCATCGTTGCTTATGTAAATTTTAGGCCAGGCTGAGCGGAATGAAATCATCACCGAGAGCTATAACGTTAAGAGCACCCTACTTTTATGTATTGCGCTACGTGCAACGTTGTAGTGCAACGCGCGAAGACGTTGTGGCCTGCACTGCAGAGAACCTACAGTGCGTCCTCGTAACACTCGGGAGACAATCTGCACAGCAGAAGCGCAGGGCAAATTTTATTGAATTAAGTAATTGCTGAGTAGAAGTAAAGCTTCTCCCGAGCTGACGGTTTTCCAGCGTGAAGCCGAAATTGACCACTATCAAAAGTGAGGGGGCTCCGTTCCCCTCCCTAACTTTTCTCAGTTGGCGGTGAGGGGTAGCACCTCCTCTCTCCCGTGAGTACGCCTATGCACACTAATCGTCAATAGCCGCGAACCTTAGTGGAGTCGAAACCCTCTAGCCTACAAGTCGTAGAGAACTGAAAGCAAGTATGAGGAGGAGAAGGAAAAGAGGACAGTCTGGTGTATTAGCACAAACGCACAGGGAAAACAGCATTTACTGGATACGTTACCCATTGTTCTGTTTGTATTCATTCGATTGTTTTTCATCATTCAACAATGTCAAAATTAAATGCTATAGATTTAGAATTAAAAATTTTTGGCCAATACCCCAGAGTCGGCATGCGCCATAGTCTGTAAGGTTGAAACAAGCAAGGAAACAAACAAAAGACAAGCACGATCTTTATATGCCCGCGTGGTTCTCGAGGAATGGAAAACGGCACTTCATTTCTATCTGCCTGTAGACGACACGGCTCAGTGCCTTGCAGGAGATGAAGAGAAGGGGAATGAAAAGCACAGTAGAGTAAAAGACAGACGGGGGAAATGATTGATTGATATGTAGTGTTTAACGTCCCAAAACCACCATTTGATTATGAGAGACGCCGTAGTGGAGGGCTCCAGAAATTTTGACCACCTGGGGTTCTTTAACGTGTACCCAAATCTGAGTACACAGCCTACAACATTTCCGCCTCCATCGGAAACGCAGCCGTCGCAGCCGGGGTTCGAACCCGCGACCTGCGGGTCAGCAGCCGAGTACCTTAGCCACTAGACCACCGCGGCGGGGAGACGGGTGAAATGAGAAGAGCAATCAGAGCGCGTTCCGACGGAGTTTCCCGACGACGTTACTGGAGTGGAAACACCCTTGCCTACATGCTAAGGATTTCAGCCTTGGCGCCACATGTGCATCGAAGAAATCTCTCTCAGAACATTGCATGATTCGTCTTTCTCCGGGTTTCCAGTTAGTGCAGCCTAAACACAGTTCCCTAAATGCCCCTAGGCCCCATCTCCAGTTTTTGTTTTCAAATCCTTGGTGCCCCAGCTTGATAGCGAAACCAACTGGAGACAAATAATTCGTGACATGCTCACCATGGTCTCGTGCGGCACTCGTACATGTCGGGCTCGTCGTCAGGCCACTTCCGGGCTGAAAAAATACCAACAGAGAACGGTAAGAACTATAGTACGCACAGCCAGAAACTACACCGAAGGCATTTCTAGATCTTGTTCTTTTTTTTTTCGGGACGTTTTTGATGAAAGTGTTCCAACTAGCCCAATTAGTTATTTAACTTCTACATCTAGCTTTCGTTGCCAATAAGGCATCAGCTCCTATGCAGCTGTTTACTAAGGCAGAACAAAGTGAAAACAAGCTGGAGAAAGTTTATGCGTGAAAGGCCTCAAGGGTATGCGTTAATAACCCAGAAAATGCTGCGTTAGCTTAGTATACTGACAAAATGTGTGAAAGCAAACGGAATTTGCGAAATAAACATGAAATTGATGAAGTAATCAATATCTTAATAAATCATTCACAAGTATAAGTACCATAAGTAAACAAGCTACGATAAATAAATGTTAGTTAATAAATAAACATGCACACGGTCGTTTTCCAAAACGCTCGTATTATTTCGCAGGCAAGTTTCTTTGTTTTGATAACCAACATCTCGAATCAATTAAAAAGCCATTGCCGTATACTTAACCGTGTTGTCATATACAAGCGTTTTGATACGGCGCGGTGCATAACCCATCACTGATATTGTCGCGGGCATGTTATAACGCACTCAGGGCAAAACGGGAGTGCCATAAGCTCACCAGGGAACAGCCTGATGAATCCAGTGCTGCTGCAGAAGAACTGCCAGGATATGAACGGGTCGACGACACGGTTGTTCTTAAAGCGGGAGTTCATCCCCTCCGACCATTTGACGGCGTTGAGCACCGGCGCCGCTGCACGCGTTTGCAAAACATGAAACATACTTTACCACCTTCGTTTACTGAACAGCACATCATTGCGTGAAACTTAATTACTCACTAAGCCTTTGTACACCCGTAAAAGTGTACTGTTCGACACAAGGAAAACACCCTTTTAGGGTGTTTAGAAACACCCCTTTAAGACCTAGGGTGTATGGAAAGGTTAAACTGAATTTTAATAGGTGTTTATCAACACCCCTAAACTATGGGGTGTTAGAACAAGCTACACCCGTGTGAGTGGGGTGTAACACACACACAAAAAAAAACACCTCTGAAAGATGGCAGTTACATGGCGAAGCATCCTTGATCAAGTGAAGCGCAACGACAGGGATAACAACAACAACAAAAAAAGAGACAAACAGGACGAAGCGCTTCGTTCTGTGTGTCTCTTACGTGTCTGTTCTTTTGTTGTCCCGTTTATTGCGCTTCATTTCATCAACGATGCATCACCAACCGGCCCCAATTTGTATACTACGAGCACCTTCGTGCGATATCCATCCTTATGTTATTAGTATCTGGGGTTCTACGCGTCAATACCAGCCTCAGCTTACGAGGTACATCGAAGTGGAGCACTATGAAAATTTTGACCGTATGGTGTTTATTGTAGGGTGCACCGGCATCGCACAGTACGCAAGTTCTGGCACTTCACCTCCACGGGAATGCGATTGCCGCAGCCGGGATCGAACCCAGGACCTTCGGGCTACCAACCGAGCAACGTGACCACTACACTTCCGCGACGGACTAAGAGCTTGCGAAGAGAACACCTCCAAAGCCCAAGACATCTTGTACACAGGACAACTCAGATTGAACACAGAACAAGCGCTGGTCGAAACAGAACTTCACTATGAAAAAGCTTCTGTACATATATACGAATCTGCGTTAACACGCACAGGCACGCTTGATTGTTACAGCGCAGACATAACAGTAATCTCTCTCTATCGTTTGTTGAATTCGTGCTATCCACATGATATGCTTCCTTCAGGAACTCGAAGGATGATGAGAACGCTTGAGAAGTGAAGGTCCACTCAGCGTGGCATGTAATGGGAAATTATAGTGGTAGCAATAGAAGGTTGCACGACAGCAGAATAGAATAGAGAACAATTCAGCTATCCTTGTTGGGATAGCAGTTCTTGTATTTGACACTAAGAGAAGGAGGCGGGTGGGGGGGGGGGAAGAAAAGAAAATTGAGTAGATCATGCGACAGGTAACTCATGGCTGGTCATAGAGCAAAAGGATGGATAATAAGAGAAGAGAAAGCGCGCTCGAAAGCGGTAGAAAGCTGTGTGGTGAAATGAACTGAAGACTCAGGCCTATTATAGACTGCGCTTGCAAATGGCGGGGTCGATCGGATATCATTACTGCAGGCTTTCGTCCTGCAGTTGACAAAACAAAAAGGACTGATGACGACGACGACGCATTCAGTGACGATGCCGATACCAGTGCTCACAAGCACGCATGAAGCAAGAGAAGAACTGCCATGGATGACTTCGGTAAAGGTGGTTATTGGCGGCTCCCTAACATGACTGACCCCTTCCCTACCATGACTGATGTCTCAAGAGTGCGTATACTTACATTTCGAGTATATGTTGGTGGCTACGTGAATGGCGCTGTAGGTGAAGTTGACGTCAGCGTCATCGAAGCGCCGGTCCTGGTGCATCTCCATGGGCATCCAGTCATCCGGGTCCTCGTCATCCGACAGCTTGGGCACCGTGTTGGGACGGTACAGCTTCTTGGCGTTGAAGTAGCGAAACTGCGAAGCAGTTACGAGAGGCACGCCGTAGAGCTCGAGCACTTGCCAGCGAAAACACAGTTTGGTGCAGCAGTTGACATCCAACTTTTCGGTCGAAGTCAATTCTGTCAATGGGTGGCCACCAATGTAGTGTTCTCACCCTGACCACCCTGTGAAATTAGCCTATGTCTCTGGAGTTTAGTTACCGTCGCATCATGTAAGTAAGTGGTACTTTTCCAAAGATCATAACAAGAAGTGTTCACTTTGCGAAGTCACTGTGCATCTTGCGTTGGGGATGGCTACGTGCCTACCTACACAACAACCCTGTGCTCTTGTTTAACTAATATCCAGGGCTCGTCCAGAAATGTTTTAGAAAGCTTTCTGTTGGGACAACGGGCAGTGTTTTCCTTAGTATCGTGACTATTTAGGAATGAATAAAGGTTTCATTCATTCATTCATTCATTCATTCATTCATTCATTCATTCATTCATTTCCACAGTAAGTGCGACAAGTTAGGGAACACGACAAGAACGTTCGCGATTGGTGTGCGACGCTGAGCCGCAGCGTAAACTACGGAAGCCCCAAGCTGGTGTAATTTTAATTTTTCCAGAAACACTCCTCTAACGGATGGATGGAGCGTCAGATGTGGTAGTACTAGGTTTTGCCTAATGCGCACTTTTTGCAGCGACATTTTAACTTTCTTACTTTTGATGTGATTTTCCCATTACTACAAAAAAAGGTACTGGTACTACAAGCACTGTTTTATTAAAAGAACTCTTTTCTGGGCTAGCGATTTCATAATCCTGTAAAATAAAAAAAAATGCCACTGTTTTGGCGCGACGAAAGAACAAGCAAAGGGTGAAGGGGAGCTTTTCTTGACCCCTTCTCTCATTTTTTCGTCGCGCAAAAACAGCCATATTTTTGTGGCCTGTACAGTACTGTTTTGTTTGCGCCATTCATTACAGTGATATGTTTGCGCAGTGAAACGTGTAAATCGTGAGTAGCGCATGCGCAGAGAGAGAGAGTCGAAAGCACGTAGGCAGTTACTAAAGCCTTAGCATGGTTGTAGTGCGAAGAAGCCAAACCGTACAGCGCAACTGGCAGCACTGTCGTGATGCAGAGACGTAGCCTGGATTTCGTCGCCCTATATGAACACTCGCGCGCGTTTTTACGCGTGCTCGTGTATGCATGCATAGAAGATAAATATTTCGAAGGGGAGCAGGGTTCGCGCCGTCCAACGATTTCACTGCCCACATCTATGTCGTAAAGGAAAAGTTTACTTACATCAATGTCTGTGCTGTACTTGTGGTCTTTGGCATTTTTCTCGGCTTCTTGTATCAAAACCTGTGATGAACCATATAGCCACGAATTAATTCTCATATAAAATTAGCCAAACAATCAAAAAGGAAGCGACATTATTATAATTGCGACAAGCTTTGACCACTATCGTTACCATTGAAAGAAAAACCACATAGCTATGTGGTATGTACATATCAACATAGGTTCAATCAATCAATCAATCAATCAATCAATCAATCAATCAATCGATCAATCAATCAATCACTTTACTATTACTCAAAGAATTGTTTACAGAATTTACAATATACAGAATGTTAAATTACACAATGTAATAAAGTCAAGTGAGTGAAGATTTGAATATTTTACTACTGAAACGCAGCAGTGTGTTTTCTGGGTTCATTATGCCAGCTTCGCTCAACCAATGGCCAGCCGGGTAGTTTGTTCCTTTATATAAATTAGAAGCCAGTCACATTCGTTGTCCACCAGTCAAACTCGACAAGATGGTGGATAAGGGTGTGTCTAAGAGAGCAGTGCGGTTATTAAATGTTTATTCCCACAGAGACATCAGTCTCATTTTCGCCAGTGGCTATGGGTAAAGTTTGCCTTAGTTTTCATGACGTCCCGGGCGCACATGACGTAATAAAATGAAATAAAGAATTATATTCAAAGCCGAACGATCGTAAGTCTTTCTTTCATATCGTTTCCCCTATTGATTGATATGTGGGGATTAACGTCCTAAAACCACCATATGATTATTAGAGACACCGTAGTGGAGGGCTCCGGAAATTTCGACCACCTGGGTTTTTTTAACGTGCACCCATATCTGAGTACACGGGCCTACAACATTTCCGCCTCGATCGGAAATGCAGCCACCGCTGCCGAGATTCGAGCCCGCGACCTGCGGGTCCGCAGCCAAGTACCTTAGCCACTAGACCACCGCGGTGGGGCTATCATTCACCCTAGCCAAATGTACATAAAGAAAAAACAATAACACACTGACGGGACGAGCGCCTGTGAATTATCTGATTATTCCGTGGCTGTCGTCATTACAAAAGGAACCGCAACGGACGTTCAGACAGTTAAATTTCCAGGAATGTTGTAAAAAACCACTGCGTCGTACGCGTCGGTCCAGCTACAGACAATAATTCCATTAACGTTTCGGTCATTTCACAAATCACTCAACCATTCGCGTGGAAAACGAAGCGCCCACTCGAAACTCGAATGTCGGTGTGTCGAGAAAAAGGTTAGAAGAAAGACAGCGAAGAAAACGAACCTAAATTCATTGATGAAAGACTTCATTCACCGCTGTTCCGCATAGCAGAGAGACAGCTTGCTGAAAGCACTCTCTTTTGGTCCTCCGATCGTCGTCCAGCGTGCCCGACTACCACGCTGCAATCTATAATACGGTCGCATAATCAACATGCGGATACTCCCCGTATAGTTCGTCAGCGTAAAATTCACGTAGGGTGAAAATTCACGCGCTGCAGTTCATCAGCGTCAGGTGTAGGGGAGACTGTCCAGCTTTGCCTCCACCTATTAGTCTACCTCTGCCATACCTCTCCAATCTCTCCGCTATCTATCCAGCAGTGGTGCACTTCAACTGCGCCGCCTCTGGTTAGGTGTGCCTTTTACGACACTGGGATGTAGACGCACCAGTGCGCGACTATGGCGTGAAGGGAGAGCCAAGCAGGTCGACTATCCTTGTCACAAGGCAAATACAGCGCACAGGTCACGAAGACTGACACAAAGAGCCCGAAGCACAGGCGCAGGCTGAAAACTGAACTTTCTTTTTTGTACACTGCGGTGAATGTGCAGCAGCTGTCAGCATCAACAAAATAACCAACTCTATCATCGGCGCCAATGCCTCATGTGCCTTGTATAAGCCTTCGTGAAGCATGCGACGCATTTACTTTGTTATGGTGAACGACCAAATAACTAGAGATGTCTTATTCTGCCTCTTTGCCGGGATGAGGAGAAAACAACATTATTTACCACAAGACCAAGAGAGTGTGGTTTGAGTCAAGGCAGAAGGTGGCCACCGCAGGTCGCTAAGTGGCCTACAGTCCCTGTGCTTCCGTGACCCGTTCTTAATAACTATGAAAAAGGCGTTAATTACTTGAACACTCTTTGTTTTGCACAAGCGTTTTACTGGTCGACTGAAAGAGCCTACTTTTTCTTGTGCTTTTTTTTTACGCCGCCGCGGTCTGACCGAGAAGCTTCTGCCACGCTATACAGCACCCGCTAACATGGCTCTTCCCCGATATGACAACTGTATAAGTTCTTTTTTTTAAGGCAGTTACAAGCAGTGCATGGTTTTGTAGCACAATAGCTGACTGCAGCGCAGATTACCTAGTTTTCATTCTGGCACGAACACCAATCTTCTTCAAAATTTTTACAAGGTCAGGCGAGTTTTTGCACAGCATACCGCGTGTTTCAAGGTTATAACGTTTCAAGAAACACTTAAAAGATGTAGCCCTAGCAGCATTTACTCAAGGCGATTCATAGCTTTAACGACACTGCGCTTGTACCTCTCCACATTCTTTCTTTAACGAGTTTTAGTCCTGCGTTCGTGGTATACGCAACGGCGTTCGATACGTAAGAACGCCGCGTTCAAGCTTACTGAGCATGAGCAGAAAGTCTTGCGCATGCAATTATTTGGCAAACGCAGCTCCACTACGCACGTAATGCCGTCATGGGTGCTACGTACCCAGAACTAAATTGATTGATTGATTTGTGGGGTTTAACGTCCCAAAACCACCATTTGATTATGAGAGACGCCGTAGTGGAGGGCTCCGGAAATTTCGACCACCTGGGGTTCTTTAACGTGCACCCAAATCCGAGCACACGGGCCTACAACATTTCCGCCACCATCGGAAATGCAGCCGCCGCAGCCGGGATTCGAACCCGCGACCTGCGGGTCAGTACCCACAACTAAAGCTCCTTTTCACCACGCACTCATCCGGTTTACTCACGCTTTTTCTCTCTCTGTCTCTCCTGTCACTCTCTACCCGTTTTCTCTGATAGCCCCTCTCTTTCTATTCTCAACCTGCGTGCGTCAGTTATCTCCCACCTGCGGTACTGCAAGCGAACACGGCCGGCGCAGTGCCCGAGCTCACGATCACAGCTGTTGCGCACCACCGAGCACGTCAGGGCATCGGCGCGCGTGCCACTTCGGTCAGTCGGCCGTGCAGCGAGGGCACGCGAATAAGTCAACTGGAAAGCTGTTTGCGCGCGTATTCCGCCCCCGCCCCTCTCTTTCTCGCTGTCCAATACAAGCGTGAACAAGGACGAGTTCGGATTCCGGTTGCCCTGAAGGAGTCGGGTGACAGATAATAACGGGGTGCCTCTCTCTCTCTCTCTCTCTCTCTCTCTCTCTCTCTCTCTCTATATATATATATATATATATATATATATATATATATATATATATATATATATATATATATATATATATATATATATATATATACACACTGCCGAACCAGCCGAAACGTATGTGATTAATAAAAGTGTTTCCTCGTACGTCGTGCTTTCTCGCTTCCGTTTTTACTACGGAGCCAGTGCGCTTCCTTCCTCGCTACGTCTATATATATATATATATATATATATATATATATATATATATATATATATATATAAAGCGAATCTCTATACATAACGACGGTACCATATGTATTTTTCCAGTGCGTTTACAGAAATGCATGTGCCACACAAAGTGGAGAAACTCCACCACTCGCCACCGGTTGGCCTACGTACAAATTTGTACACGAGTCGATCGGTGTGTGCCATAGCGACCACAAAGGCGCCATCATCATTACTGAAGAATATTAGCGTTTTTTTTATTCTGTCCGTTAATCCGGCATCGCAAAGGCGTAGCCTACAATACAGGATGATGTGCGTGATAGCTGTAGCCACGCCAAGTGGCGCCAGCTGTGAAAGATAAAGAACTAATAAAAAAAGCACGTAATATATGCCGGCGAGTTTGCGGAAGCGCACATAACCGCTTGTTATAAGCCTACAGCCTCGACCATTTGACTGCGGTTCTCGAAAACGGTGCCGAATCGACACAAATTCTTTAAAAGCTTCTATGCAAAGCATTATGCACGTAGCAGAATAGTGGGCGTACTAAAACGTCCTAGTGACCCACCGATCAAGATAAATAGGGACCGCTTATCACGACAATATGTGGATTTAACGCAAGCATATAAAAGCATCAGTTCAAAGCCAAAGAGCTACAGAGTGCACGACAGCTACTTAAGAGATTCGAGGTGGACGGCAATCGCTTTCAGCGGTGCGGTGCGCGCAAGCGCGCGCCCAGTTAACGCCATGATTGATGATTGATATGCGGGATTTAATCGTCCCGAAACCACCATATGATTATGAGATACGCCGCAGTGGAGGGCTCCGGAAGAAGTTTACACCATGCATTCGGGCATATATGCAAAGCATTTACACGTTTATCAGAGTACCGGACATCCTTAAACGCTTTAGTGACCTGCCGATTAAAATAAATTGGGACCACTGGTAACACGACAATGCATTCTTGTGTGCATTCCTCGCGCCGACGACAACCAAGGAAGATATTGACCGAGTTTGTACATTTGTTAAAAACTGTAGTGCCACTTCTCTTTCTCGGAGTATAATAGCTCCCAATTCAATTACCTGTCTTTTTTTTCACTGCTCTTTACTTTTCGCAGAATGGCACAGGTGCGTACCGTTTACGCCAGCGCTGCCGGCGAGAGACCTAGGTACAAACGTAGTGCAACTCGGCCATTCCATTTCTGTAGATCACGCACAGAACCTTGCAGAACCGTTACAAACTAACGGCGAAGCCGAGAGTTGCGTTGTGGATTCCGTTAGAAATGGCTCCCTCGTCTCACGACAAACGGTGTCATAAAACCAAACTTCCACGCCGCAAAACTCAAAATGCAGTCATCGGCTGATTTGAACGTTATGTGCTGCATAGTTGCGGAGGGTGTCACGGAACGCCGCTCCGTACTCAAGCGCGCTCGCTAACACAATGAGTGCGGCTTGGGTTATCGCGCTCGCTAGCCCAAGCCACAAGTTCGAAAAGAAGAGAGAGTGCTAAAGTTCATAGCACGCGCTGACTAACGGGCCCATCTTCTTGCCTTAGTGATTGCATGGAAAAGTGTTGAAAGGCCCCTTTAGATAGACTAGTTACCAATTAGTGAGCCAGTTGTATTTACAGCCAGTTATATAAACATATACAAATTAGTTAAAGCCATCAGTATGATTGTAAGTCGTGAGGTCGGGACAATGCAGGATAGGTATAGTTGAATAGTTGAAAATTTGACGCCGAGCTGGAGAACATGGCGCGCGTGTAGTGTTTTATAAACACGAAAGTGTTTTGGGCTGTGGCCCACCATGACCGCGCCGACGTATTTCCGTCATGGATATGACGTTGCAAAACATACACTGCCAAACTGCAAAGAAACAAAACGAGAAGCAGTTTCGTTGGCCGGCGTCTAACTTATGACCTCTCGCTCCGCAGCGCGCCACGCGAAATCACTATGCCAAGGAACGCACGCTGTTCAGTTTGCTAACGGCAACCTATATTTATATACGCCATATACCGTTTGGTGGCCCTCAGAGCTCCGCAACTTCAGCGCGTTTTTGTCATCAGTACACGACACTACATATATCTAAAGCATGCGAATAAAAGCATCAGCTCAAAGACAACGAGCTACAGAACGCACGACGGACAATTGACAGATTCAAGCCGTGGACGGCAATCGCTTCGAGGTGGCGCGAAGTGCGCACGTTGAGCGTGCTCTAAAGGTAGTCGCCCTTCGCGTTTCGATGCGCGCGCGGGCGTGGTTTCTCGAACGGGCGCGCTTATCTCGATATTCGAGAGAACACGAACGTCACTTACCCCCGTATTCACAAACGCTCCTCGACTCGCCTTTCACCCTTCACTTGACAGAGGTGAGCACTGCGCCACCACTCGGCTGAAAATGACGCTGCGCTGCTCGAGAATCGCAGCAGACGATCGCTTATGTGCGGTGACTTGCCGTACCCAAAGATGGCGTTCCCGTCGGCTTTCTCAAGTGAAGGGAAAGCGTTGAGCGAAGGGAGGTTCTAGAACAGGGGGTTAGCTCACTTCCACGGGCGTGTTTACGAAAGGAGCAGTCTGCTCACGCACGACGAAGAATTGTGGCAGTTGTTCGCGTTCATCCTGTGTATGCATGGCCATTTATTTCGTGCGTCTTTCTTTCTGTTTGAGCAGCGTGCTCTAAATGTCGAGCTGTGACAGTTGTTAGTCCACGCACGTCCTGCGTATGTTCATTTAGTGTGTGCTTCTCGAGTTGTGTGCTCAAAGTTTGCAGCTGCTTGCCTTTCTTCGCGCCAAATTACAGTTTGTTGCTGCAGCATTCATTCCTTCGCCCTTTTCACAAAACAATACACAATGAGCACTCAATCAACTGCCTCCGTGAAGACTCGTTTTACTTTTGTGTTATACCAATTCCTAGGCATAGAAATCGAGCTCGTTTTTTATCGGTGTAACTCACGTCAATCACGTAAAAAGTAGTTCAAGCGATAAAAATAAGGCATCAAAGAGAGAGAGAGGGAGCGAGAAAATTTAAGTGCATATAGAAAGACCTGGAATAAAGCAGCTCAGCTTTTAATCTTACATTAAATATGCGCGAAATGTAGGCAAAACACGAGACAAAAATGTTATCCGTTAAATCTTTATACAAGAAAGCCTAGGGTGCAAAGTCTCGATTCTATCCGAAGAAAGGAACACAATTTGACATTATAAATAGTTAGACATAGAGAGAGGGTGATAACGAATGAGGAGCTAAAACATGAAGCAGTTGACGGATACAATGGAGGCACCGAAATTGTAATCGGAAAAGTAGCCTTTCACTATCTTGTAGCAGAGACAACCGCGATATATGTAGCATTGTCAGTGAGGAGTTGTGACGACGCCACAGGTAGCGTTCTTGCAATGGGCTTATCAGCCAATTTATCTTGCCTACAGACGTGTTAATCAGCGGCTACCATGCTGTCTCGACGAGGGATCGTTGTGATGTTAGTTTCTAGTTGTTCATCAGCCAAGACTCTGCCTGGTTGCGTCACCGAGCGATAAACACACGTGATTCCATCGTGAGAAATTCGTGAACAGGAGGTGAGCGCCGGAGCCGACGTTTCGACAAGTTCACTTGTCTTTTTCATGGCTGCAACTTGAAAAAGTTGCAGCCGTAAAAAATCGTAAGTCCACTTGCCGAAACCTAGGCTGCACCCCCCCCCCCCCCCACCTGTTTACGACTCTATCAACGAAAGTTTCCATCTTTCCCTTTTTATCATCATACAGTGTGACTTCACGAACGCCACTTGTTTCAGTGACAACATAAAATCATAGGGGTTCGTGAAATCTTCAGTTTTCCCCTCATAAGTATTCGCAGGGTTTCTAGTCATTGGTGTGCTTCAAGATTCCTTTTCCTGACTCTTTCTCCACCTTGCAGGATTCCGCAGAAACTGGTGCGCAGCACTCACCTTAAGTGATTCTGTCTTGGAGCTGACTAGGTTGCCCAAGTCCCTAAGAATCTTTTCTGTCAGCTGCGCGATGTCTTTGTGGTGAGGCTTGGCCTTGAACTCCTCGAAGTTCTGAAAAAGAAAGTCAGAGCAACAGCTGCAGCTGTAATCATCGGTGAGCAACGAAACAGCGATGACAATTGATGCTCTATCACACCATGCCATTCATTTACGCTCTTCCAAAAAGGTAGTGCTACTTACTACTTTTGAGGTAGTAAAGTTCTTTCACAGCATTCACTGGTTATGTAGTAACAGCAGGTAGTAGACTACAAATATTTACTACCTCAGAAGTCTTCTGCGGTAGTATTACCTCAGAAGCCTACCTCAGAAGCCTCTTCAGGTGGTAATTGTCTGTAGTCTAATTGATATATGGGGTTTAACGTCCCAAAAACACCATATGATTATGAGAGACGCCGTAGTGGAGGGCTCCGGAAATTTCGACCACCTGGGGTTCTTTATCGTGCGCCGAAATCTGAGCACACGGGCATACAGAATTTTCGCCTTCATCGAAAATGCAGCCGCCTAAGCCGGGATTCGATCCCGAGACCTGCGGATCAGCAGCCGAATACCTTAGCCACTAGACCACCGCGGTGGGGCAAATGTCTGTAGTCTACTACCTGCAGTTATTACTTAGGTAGTGAATGTTTTGGCAGCACTTTACAACCTCAAAAGTTAGTAAGTAGCACTACCTTTTTTTCTAAGAGTGTAGGATCTTGAGAGTAATAATATTTGGGGTTTTACGTCCCAAAACCGCGCTGTGATAACGAGAGACGCAGTAGTGGAGGGCTTTGGAAGTTTTGACCATGCGATATTATTTACGTGCACTGGTATCGCACAGTACATGGGCCTCTAACGTCGCGCCTCCTCAAAATGCGAATGCCGCGACCGGTATCGAACCTGGGACCTTCGGGCCAGTAGCCAAGGATTGTAGCCGCTACACTACCACGGCGGTCGATAGGAGCTTGCGAAAGGAACACCTCAAGGCCCCAACACATGTATTATATACTGGGTAACTCAGATTAAACAGGGGACATTAAAAGAGCACTGATGTACAGCACAAGCACTACTAGGAACTAAGCTTGATTATGAAAGCCTTCCCTTCATATCCTTATGACACACACACACACACACACACACACACACACACACACACACACACACACACACACACACACACACACACACACACACACACACACACACACACACACACACACACACACACACACACACACACACACAGAGAGAGAGAGAGAGAGAGAGAAAGAGAGAGAAGGTATAGTCGCTAACTCCACTCAATGGACTATTGTATGTTGCGCCAAGTATTTACGGCGCTAAAACACTTAGTGTATATAAATAACAAAAAAGATCAGCCATACACGCCTGTTATGCATGCGTGTATGAAGGGGTGTAAAAGCAGAATCGGTAATCTGTTCTGCTTTCGAAGTCAGTGTTCTAGACAACTGAGGTGTTGCCAATTAGTATTATTATAACTTTCTTGTTTCATTAGCGCGATTTCACATCGCATTCACTCCTTAGAAATGCGCTTTTAGCCAATAAACCACGATTGACCGACACATATTGCAGAAAAATGGTGAGTTGACCCAGAAAATAAGCTATTTTTATTAAGAGAGACTGGTATGCAGCCTAATATTATAGAACTTGGACATGATAGAGAAAACAGTACTGTTATAACAGGTAGTATCCCACAGATGGCCAATATATAGCCCGTACAACCTAGCATTAGCAATCATTCAGCCATCTATGGTGATTTTTAGTCAACACTAGACAACATATCATTTGGCGAACGCTAAAGCAGAATCGCGAGTTGGGCTGGTTGGTGGATGGCCATCGTGGACTAACGAGCTGCGTAGCAATATTAGAGTACTCGCAGCGAGACAAAGATGGCACAGCGTTGAACGCACAAGTAAATAGGAAAAGAAAAAGAACGGATATATGTAACAGTTAGTCACCGAACTTCCGCACGCGTGTGACAAACCAACATGAATCATGTCTCATCAAAACAGATTGTTGTACTCTTCGTATAAAAGAAAAAAGCATAATTGTTGGATGAACGATACAAGATTTGCCGACTCTTATAAGAAAGGCTTCCGCTATTTCACGCGTGCGCTGATCAACGCGTCCGTTCTTTATATTGTTCTTCTTAAGGTAGGCCACGCAACCACTTCAAGTGCGCCATGTCCCATTGCTAGCTCTTCCACAAGGTGCTAACACTAAGAAGTGGTACCCGCCACGTAGGTGTAGCACTTATGGTGTTCGACTCCTGAGCCACCCACCAGTCGCGAGATCGAATCCCAGCCGATGTGACCACATTTTCGAATTTTCGATTAATGCGAAAGTTCGTGAAGCCCGCGCATTTATGAACCCCATCTGATTGAAATTTCGGGAGCCCTTCACATGCGGCGTCTGTCATAATCATAGCGTAATTTTTGGATGTTGAACCCCCCGAGGTAATTAGTTATTTATTTCATCATCATCATCATCATTATCATCATCATCATCATCATCAGCCTGACTACGTCCACTGCAGGACAAAGGCCTCTCCCATGTTCCGCCAGTTAACCCGGTCCTGTGCTTGCTGCTGCCAATTTATACCCGCAAACTTCTTAAGCTCATCTGCCCACCTAACCTTCTGTCTCCCCCTAACCCGCTTGCCTTCTCTGGGAATCCAGTTAGTTACCCTTAATGACCAGCGGTTATCCTGTCTACGCGCTACATGCCCGGCCCATGTCCATTTGCTCTTGTTGATTTGAGTTATTTATTTAACTATTAATTAGTCCACAAGCAATGTTCATTGACCACGAAGTTATATTGTAGTCGGATTTGGTCGCACGTCATATCCGATAACATTGCAAACGTCACGCGAAAGATTTCACGTTGTTATGCAAATGCGTAAAAAATATTCTTCATAACTAAATAAATAGGCAAAAAAAGTGAAGCAATGCCGACAAAACAAATCACGCTGTCTCGAGACAGAAACACGACACTCGACTGTATATATAGCCACAGCGCATGAAAAAATAAAATAAAAACCCCACGAAATTTATCTCCGAGCCCACTTACACGTGCCGCAAGCCACCGTGCACGCACTTTTCTTCATCGCGCGAGGGCTCCGTTATGAGAGCGGCGCACCCGTTTTTGCTCGGCCGCGGTTTTCCATCAGATTCCGAGAATAATTTAATCCCCCACCACGGGCTTCGAGCGTGCACACATTGGCGGAGTGCGTGCTCAAACCTCAAGAAAAAGAGGCCCGCTGGCGGTGTGAGGCTATAAATCGAAGCAGCCGCAGCGATGAAACCGTGCTTACGAGGTTATTCACAAAATGGTCCGAGACTATATACGTAGTGCCTTCCTTCTTCGGGGCTTCTTTTTAGAAAAAAAAAAAAAAAACAAAGACTTTCCTCTTTACACGCCACCACCGCACATTACGCAGTTGATCGTTCATCGTGCGAAGCATTTTATACAATTTGTATCTTAAGTCGTCATTTTGTTTTCAGCACCCATGCCACATCGTTCATTTACACGCCGCGGTTATTTTCATTCCCTTGAAGTTATTTTTCGGAGTTTAATTTCTTGTTTATTTTTCTGTGTTTATTTTTCCTCCGTGCTTTCCCGTTTAAGACTTCGTAATAACGTACTCAAAGATGAAGGATAAGTAGCTACAAATTACTACAGTGGCGAATTTCGATTTAGAAAATAAAACTGTAAATAACGGGCGTGTTCTAAAAGCCCGAAGAGGGCCTAATTGAATGAGTCGTACAGATTGTTTGTTATATTGTGCATACGTAATAGATCTTAAATGCCCAAAGCAGGCAGGCTTCAAAGCTCAGGCTTGAATGTCTAATCACGGCACGCAACAAGCAGGCGCCGCAATAATTTCAAGAGAAAAAGCGATTATTCAGAGGAGCATGTTGACGTAAATTATGTACATACCGTCCACCGTCACGCCAATTTCTCCGGAATACGTACTTTCGGCTTTTGGCTCCATCCGGTGGCGGAGCAAGGCGTTACGGTTTCCACGGAAATCATCGAACCAGGAACAATCAACTGAACTGAACTTAATATTTATTTACATGGCAACCGCGAAATCATAAAGCAGACGTGTCGACTGGCATTTGTTTTTAAATTTTGCGAGCAAAGCTGCAGGTAATGCTTGCATAAGGCGTAAGCGAAAACGATGCTTGCGAGCAATCGGAACAACCGAAACTCTTCTAGTGCAACCAGTGCGAGCTCCAACTGCCTTCTTCAGTGTTTATTTTTACCTGAGGCTATGTAAACTAATGGAATGGTTCGCCGGGTGAAGACGCGCATAAAAGCAATGCGTGATACTTGGAACACTGCTGATGTAGAAGGATTATTCTAAATGGCCTCCTGCTTCTTCGCTAACCTCGAAATGCCAAAGTTATGTTTTTTGTGCCCTCACTGTGAGTATCCTCGACGGGCGCTTAACGGTAAGACTATATATGCAACAACTTATAAAGGAATAATTGAAATGCGAGTGTAAGTAAAACAGACTCACCTCTTTAATCTCAGTGAAATTCGACGCGAATAGACTCTGGTTGGAGATCTCTGTACCAAAACGCCACGCCCAGTTTCGGACACTGCAAGGAAACGAGAATAAACAGATCCGTGAGAACACTTGTGCAGCAGTTCACGTCAACGGCCTTAGCTAACAGTGCCTGATGGTGTCGAAAAAACAGTGGCACCTTTATCGTGTACAACAGCGTGAGCACGTGTACTCAAACATAAAATGACGGCGAATTTCGAAGGCATTCTTGACAATAAGAGATGTTCGTTTAAAGACGACACGCTGTAAGGCAGCCTGCTTGTAACGATTTCACGAATCCGAGGTATGTGTAAGAACATAACAGCGTGTCTTGTCGACAAAAAAATGCGTGAAACACATTAAATGACGTAGCTTAGGAGAGTATGCATTAATGTCAATAAACGACGTCACTGTCAAATAAATGTTTATCTAAATAAAAAATGGGAGGGTTATAAAAATGTTGTTGAAGTGGCTTCTATGCGTAAGGAACAGGACTAAAAGAGCGAAAGCTACAAGAAAAAATAACCACAAATACAAGTACAGCTCGCACAAACTGAAACGCGACATACAAAAACGTCGGAGTCGGCGCGGGCGTCATTGGTTGTGACCGAATAGTTCTTATCTTGTTCATGACCAAAAAATAAAAAAAAGACGCAAACAACATAACGAATAAAAATTCACATATTCGGAGTGTGGATCGAGCCCAAACCATCTGAGTGGTAAGAAGCTGTCCAACCATATGCCACCATATTTGTTTAAACTGCTCTGGAAAAAAAGAATTGCTATACGAATGTCGTGTAATGGAATGAGTTTTTTCTTAATGCGTCACATATCGCGTGGCAGAAGCGCAGGAATCGCGCCAGGCATCGTAAGATGTGAATTATTACACAAAGCACTTCCTACTTCGTATTCATCGTGACACATCGTCAACATGTTCATGCGGCCAGGACGACGAGGATATCTGTCACCTCTTGCTCGACTGTCCGAAACACGATACACACCGAAGGCTACTAGAACAAGAACTGCATAGGTTAGATCCTGAGTGACCATTCGGGTTGAATAAAATACTAGGTCCACGGCCATCCAAAACAAATGGCAAAGCAATGAAGGTGCTGCAACAGTTGTTCGAAGAAACGAAGATTTGTTACGACTACTGAGCGGACAAAAGTTAAAAGTGAGCGTGGCGTCTACTTGTTTGTTCTGCCCATAGGCGAACTTTTGCTCTCACCCATATATGCTATTGTTTTTTTAATTTTCTTTATTTGTACCAATAAAGTGGAAAGGGGTAGCCGTCACCAAATAACAGTGACAAAAACTCGTTCGTTTATTTTCTATTTCACAGAAAAAAATGGCAGCATATCCACGGAGTGAATGATGGGGAATGGGGTGAAGCATTCGTCCGTCCATTCGTTCTTGCTTCAGTCCGTCCATGCGTACGTCTGTGTAACCGTCCATGCGTCCATCCACCCATCCGTGCGCGCGTCTGTTCGTGCGTCCATCCCTGCGCTCGTCCATGCATTCGCGCCTGCGTCCGTTCATGCGTCCATCTATGCATCTGTCTGTGTGTCCGTTCGTCCATCTATTCAGCACTCCAAGTACCACCATCTCGCATCTCTTCATCATATATTCTTCATATAGAAGCACCGCCATCCAGCGGAAATTTCAAGGACTAAACGGGAGGTGGCACATGCACACTTTCTTACGGCTTGCGCTTCAGGTTTACTTCCCACCTTTAACCACCTCGAATTCATGGTATATACTAGTTCACTGTATTCATGGTTATGCGGCCCAACGCTCGCTAAACCTTTCTAAAACCAAGGAGGTTACAACCAGAGAGTATAACGTAGCAACCCTTTCTTGTCAGATCGTGCTCAATGTACATGCCAATAGCTGCTAATGGGGATCGCAGCGTGCGCGTTACCTAAAGGCCGAATGCTCCTGTCTCTCATTCCCCCTTAGCAGCCACTAACATGTGCATTGAGCACTATCTTTTATTGTTCAACAACGCACAGAAGAAATCTCTCACCGGAACCACCTTGGAGGTCAAAATCGTAAGGACCGCTATTTCGGGTATGTGCCACTGGTGGTTACGTACTACGAGGGACGCACAAGCCACGCCATAAGGAGCTTCGCCCCTAATATGATGTGAATTGAAATTCGGCAGCCATTGCGGGGATCCCCTACCACGACCTTAGGGGCAGAAACGAAGCACCATACCAAGCCACCAAGGCGGTCAGTTTCGCATCTCAATCCATGAAAACGTTCGTCAAGCGCATGTTGACGGTAAACAAGGCACATGTGCGGTGATATTTCGAATGTAAAAACAAACCGAAAATTCACTAAAGGGTTTCTATGAAGCCAGTTTTTTTGTTTTTTTTTTTGTGAAGCGTATGGCTGTCAGTGCTTGTACACGCACGGAGGTTCAGCAAAGAGCAATGACTCAAAAACAAAGTAAATGTCACAAGCCACCGTGTCAGCCATTCGCTCACCGTCTAACCATAATAGCTTGCGGTCGCTTAGAAGTATTGCGCCATTGGGACGAGTCTGAGCGCCAGTAAACACGTGATCATTTGCCAGGAGTGATCGATATTGAGCGCTCGCACGTTTATTCCGAACCGCAGGAACCCTTGAGGCGCAACTCAATTAGTAACGACCAAAACGCACGTTTTCTTACACGACATTGCTATGAAGTACTTTTATCCACGCAAGCGTTTGACTGCCAAGCAATAGCGCGTGACGAGTAAGGACGAAGTGACGCGAATGGTAGCCCATGACGGGCTATTGAATTCGAGAAATACAACGAAAGGACCGGTAAGGGGGAATAGTGTTGCGCACAACGTTATACGGGCCCCAAGAAAAATGAGCCCCATATTCCCTAAAAGAAAAATAAGCGCAGATATTGCTACACGTCATTGTTTAATTATTGTGTAGGTAATGAGGTCTACGAAAAAGAACTAGCAGCTGCTGGGATACGAACACGATTGATGCGGAAGGTTTAGATCGGTATCCAAACGGCGGTGGGTTGCTTTCTGTGGCTTCATTTTCTGTTTGCTTCATGATCAAGATACGTTCCCCATGAAATATATTGAACAGGGCAAGCGATCAGCTTTACAAGGACAAACTGACTTTGAACTCTGCAGGATGACTGTCATCATTCATTGATCTTTAATTGCGGTGGTTATTTGTGGTGTTAGGAGGCAAACCGCCCGTAGCGAAGCAAACCACGCGTAAGAAATTGCTTTCACAAATGACATTCATAAAATTTTCGGTCAAAAGTTCTCCAGAAGGTGAGTGCAAATAACAACCTTCCTGCTTAATGTTAAATGGGCATTCTTACACAATAACCAGTGGTATTGATATTGTTACGTGAGACGAGCAACACTGGATCGACGAGGCTGTAGAAAAAAGATATAAGCAGCAGCTGCGGCGTGACCGGTTAATCAGCGACCGAGCAGACTTCGTCCTGTTCGTCAGGCACACATGGGCATAGTCCCGAATGATGTCGATATGCGTGTAGCATACTCCCCGGTGGCAGAAGCGCCCTCTCGGCGCATCAAGATGTCAACGCTATACCGGGAAAGTGGTAGGGCTTCAAGCAAACGATATGCACAATATCGATGGCCTGTGGGGCAGTTGAAGGCGACGAGGTGGTAGAAGGGCGATTTGATAGGTCACAGGAGTAACCTCATTAAGGACTCGGTATGGACCTGTGTAGCGATAAAGCGGTTTTTCCGAAAAGCCGACCTCACCAGTCCGGGACCACATCACGACCAAATAACCGGTCGAAAAGTGCACGTCTCGGTGCCGTTGAGCGTACAAACGATGCTTGTTCTCTTGAGAGACTAGAAGGCGAGTACGTTCAATATCGCATGTATGGGCCGCTCGAGAGATAGTGCCAAGGACATATTCACTACTCGGTGCAGCGGTAGACGGGATGACTGTATCTAGGGGTAGTTTAGGTTCTCGACCAAACAACAACAAAAAATGGAGAGTAAGCGGTAGTGTCATGGCGCGAAGAATTATATGCAAATGTCACGTATGGTAAAGGAAGGTCCCAGTCCCAGTGGTTGGAAGAAACATACGTCGCAAGCATGTCTGTGAGTGTTCGATTCAGACGTACCGTGAGTCCATTTGCCTACGGGTGGTACGACGTAATGAGCTTGTGCCTTGTTTCACATGACTGCAGGATATCGGCTATGTCTTTCGATAGAAAGGTGCGGCCACGGTTTAAACGTAAGCAGCTGGCGTGGAGCTCCATGTTGCAAAATCACGTCGTTTAGGGGGAAGTCAGCGACATCTGTGGCGCAGCTTGTTGGAAGAGCTCGCATGATGGCGTAGCTTGTGGCATAGTCTGTGCCCACAACTATCCACCTGTTGCCGGAGGAAGACAATGGAAAAGGACCGAGTAATAAATATAAGCCAACGTGGAAGAACGGTTCTGACGAAATGTCAAGTGGTTGAAGGTGTCCGGCGGAAAGCACCAATGGTGTTTTGCGGCGCGGACATTTCTCACAAGCCGCAATGCATACCTTCTGCCTGACCGCGAAAGCCCTGGCCAAAAGAAGCGTCGGCGAATGCAGTCGTAAATGCGTGACATGCCAAGATGGCCGGCAGTTGGAAGGCCAGTAAGTTTGCAATACAGCAACTAAGTGGATGTACCTAGAAATGCTAAGCGCGGCTACTGTGACAAAAAGCTAAGTAGAATGATCACGTCGAGGCACAAAAACGCAGGAAACAGAAATACATAAAACACAAAATGAACTCGTCGTCAAGGGTAAAAGCCTTGGCCTTGATACGAAGTGAAAACAGGTCTTTATGCAGTAGATTGCATACAGAACGTATTAACCTTCCCCCTCCCCTCTGTTTGTAGACTAGAGGGTCCGACAGCGTTGACTTCTTGATCCTGCGGTAACAGCGACGTTCGCGCGGACGCGTTTGTGTGAGTGCATGTATGTGGGCGTGTGTGTGCGTGCACGCATGTCCATCTCAGTCGTTTTGTGCCAGCCTGATGTCACTGAAGGCGTCCGCCAGTTATTTCCGCGGCTGCGACTCGGC